GTTCACTTCGTTCGGGAGCTCCCGAGCGAAGTGAACCCCACCCTCCCCCTCAGAAATCGTGGGGGGTAGGGGCAGGGTTCGCGTGTGGCCCCCTAAAAAAAAAAAAAGAAGAAGGACAAAGGAGTCACAGGAAAAAACGAGCGCAGGGGCCCGTGGCCCTGCCCAAATCGGCTCCCCCGCACGGGCCGGGAGGCCCCCTTTCCGCAAGAAGAGAGAGAAGGTGGCAGTGGGATGAAACGGCCACAGGACAAGAAATCCGGGGATCCATTGGAGGGGAGGCCGCAGGAAGAAAAGGGGGCAGGAAACAAGAAAAGTTGAGGTGGGCGAGCCTCACCTCCACAGGGAAGGAGAAAAAGGGATACAGGAAAACAAGTGTAGCCCAACCATCCATGTCGGTCCCCATCCATCCTCCAAACTCCCATCTCCACCATGCTCCGACCGCCATCATCAACTTCATAATCCCTCCTCCTCCCGCGTCATCCCAATGTTCATACACCCCCTCTTCCGTTATCGAAATTATTATCGTGAATCGCTCCCCCTCATGGTCCTACGCATCCTCCCCCTTCTTGGTCTCGCTGCCCGCAACGCCTCCTCCAAGGCAAGTGTCTCGGCAGTAAATGACAAAACACATTCCCGCGACAACTTGTGGCGCTCATTATTAAGGGCGTGGCCTGCAGTACCCTCACGCGCGTGCGACTGGCCTCAGTGATCCAGGCTGGCGATGCATAGTAAGGTATACTGACCCAGAGCGCGAACGTATGCAACGCAACTCACACAGTTGATCAACACTTCTGACGGCATAGGGTTTTGCAGACGAAACTGCATCGGAGTATCATGCCGCGTGCGCTCGCTCCACGAGGATAATGTTTCATCATCCTCAGCAGCCGCAGCCGCATCAACATCGCCATAAACGTCAATACCATCTTCAACAACAGCATTATCAACACTACCGGCATCGCCAAAATACCTGGCATCGCCAAGAGCAGCATTGGATCATCCCTTTCATCACCATCCTCCAGGCATCGGGTCACTGTGGTGAACGCAGCGCGAGACCATGCGTCCCCCTGCTGCGAGGCCGCTGTCGCCTTGCGGTGGTCCTTGCCAAAATCCTGTGCGCAGCAAGGCGGCATCGAAAAGACCATATTCGAAATCCCGCGAAAACCTGCACATCCTTCCACGCCCCCGTCCTCCTCCTATTCCTCCTCCTCTTCCCGCACCACTTTCCACACAGAATCTCCCCCCTCCCTTTCTCCTCCCACATCCTTTCTCATCTTCAGGTTCCGCCTCACTACCAGTCTACATTGGACTTCGACCTCATGATCCTCCTCACTATCCTTCTCAATTGCCTCGTCCCCATCCCCATCCACATCCTTCTTCCTCTCCCAATCCTCGCTCCGCACTTCCCCGTTGCCATACATGCTTCTCCCTCCCCATCATCATCCTGCTCCCCCTCAAGCATCCATCACCGCCATCCTGCCTGGCCATCGCCTCATCAGCATGATGTTGCTATGCATATTGGGTCGCCATCGCTATCATCAGCATGGCGATCGTGCTGCAGGCGATCGTGGGCATCATCATTACCATCACCAACGCCATCGCCACCATACCATCAAACCAGAACAAGCATCACCTCGACAGTCGTACGCATCATGACCATCATCATCATCATCATCATCATCATCATCATCATCACCATCATCATCATCATCATCATCATCATCATCACCATCACCATCGCCAACAACAACAACAACATCATCATCAACATCATCATCACCATCGTCGTCATCACCACCACCATCACCACTACCACCAACACCAGCATCAAAATCATCAATATCATCATCATCAACATCACCAGCATCACCATCGTCATCACCATCACCGTCATTATCATAATCAGTATCAACAACATCAGCAGCATCATCATCATTATCACAAACAGCATCATCGTATCGACATCAACATCATAATCGTCATCATCGTCATCATCATCGGCTTCATCCTCATCCTCATCCTCCTCATCCGCATGATCGCAAGCATCAGCATCATTACCACCATCATCATCGTCATCAGCATCAACAGCATCGTCATCATCAGCATCGTCATCACCATCAATATCAGCCTCTCCGTCGGCATCAACATCATCATCATCATCATCGATCTCGTCCTGCTCCCCCTTATCCGCATCATCGCAATCAGCATCAGCATCACCATAATCTTCAGACTCAGCATCATCATCGTCATCGTCATTATCATAGCCATCATTATCATCATCAGCATTATCAGCAGCATTACCATTAACATAATTCGCATCACCATCATCACCATCATCATCATCATCATCAGCATCATCATCATCATCGTCGTCATCATCGTCATCACCACCACCAATACCATCGTGATCACTAGACGTATTGTCTCATCCTCCTCCCATCGGACCTCCGTCTGCCCTTCCCCGTTCCCCTTCCCATCCCTATCCTCCTCAAACTCCTCCTTCCTTGCTGATTCCTTCTCCTCCTCGGTCCTGCCTCCTCCCTCCTCTAGGAATCCCTCTCTCCCTCCTCGCCCTCCCTCCCCCTCCCAACAACAATTTCTGTCCCCTCCTTCCCCCTCCTCCCTCCTCCATCATCCGATCACGTTCTGATACCTAAAGCCCTCCTCCTCCTCGGCTCAGCCTGAACACGAACAAAGTTGTCCGCGCCACCTGCCACTTACGCCACAGCATGGCCACGGCCAAAGGCGGGTGGCGCCACCCGAACAGTGCCCAGAAAAGGTAAGGCATGGCCAGCACACAGAAGCTGGCAGACATGCAGGCCGCGCGGGGCATGGCGCAGCGCTGCTCTAGAGCGGTTGCACCACCCCCGCACGGATCAAGGAAGCAGTGCGCAGCGGATCCTCCAAGTACCGCCACGCACGATTGACCTGGAAGCGCGCGGGAGCACGCGTGAGGCCCGCGAGGACTCGAGCACCCCACGTGCCTGATGCAGGGGGGCCTCGACAGCCCTGCGACAGGTTCGCAGAGATCTTGACCCCTCCCAGCCCGCACACCACGCACACCGAACACCACGGCCTCCGCCCCCCGCCCCCTATGACGGCAAAGGGGTGCATGACATGCGGCCTCTCATCCGCAAGCTGCACGCGCACAGAGGCAAGGTCGGCTCTCGACAGGCTGCGCGGCGTGACTGGAGGCGGGGGCTCCACCACTATGTTGGGCACAGGGCGGTCCTCCGCTCCCAGGCCACGGGCCTTGCGCAACCGACGAGGGACATGTTCGCAATCGACATCACACATACGAGGCCCGGCGCGCGCAACCCAAGACGCCCATTGAGAGAGCACAAGGGCCTTGGCGCTACGAACCTTGCGGGGCTCAGGATCAATACGGACTCTCGAGGTCATCCACTGAGCCCATTCATCGGCATGCGCATTGCCTACTTTTCAAAACGCCAGGCTGCACGCGCCGAGCAACAGTACGCCTTGCCACGCTGATACGCTCCATCGTGGACAAAACCTGAGTCGGTGTAAAAAATACTGCCTGGTGCACAGTGCTGCAAAGCACGGTTGAACGCAAACAGCTCAGCACAGTCAATATCTTGACAAACATCCTGGAGGGTGCAGCACATCACCGAATTTACCTTATAAGGATGTTGCGGCTGCACACTGACGATGGCCCAGCCCACAGCCTGGGACGCGGGCGGCAGGTGCTGGTCCATCCAGCTGGCGTCAAGGAAAACGCGCCCTGCCATCTCGGTAGGTCCTCCGCCGAACCACCGATCAGGAGGGGCGCTGGCAGGAGGAAGGGGGGCCTCGGGGACGAGGAGCCTCTCGGCGAAGAGGAGATGGGGGGGGGGGGCGAAGCTAGCCCTGACAACTGACGCCAAGAAATCAGGCGGAACCTCCTGTGCCGCGATGTCATCGCGGCCCGCACAGCACGCGTGACGATGCAAGAGCGTGCCAGGGGCCTGCTGACATAAGCGGCAGAGGGGGTCAGCGGTATACTGCGAAAGCCACTGTCGATGCTGAGGCCACTGCCCCCCAGCGACGACGCTCCTCAGGTAGGCCTTCTCATCATGTCTGAGGCCTCTGGAGGCTAAGAGAGACTGCGGGGGCTGAAAATTACACCCAAGGGAGAGCTCAGGAACACCTTCTCTTGAGGCCACTTTTTCCCAGAGCCACTGCTGTACTACATGATAGAGCAATTTGCGAACGGTGCGAGGCCCTGACTGCAAAACAGATACCTCACCGTGTCGAGGATGCGACCATACGAAGCCTTGCATGCAAACGCGAAGCCGCAAAGCTGCAGCAGCACACGCAGAAAAAGGGCCACGGATCCTGGCCCAAGGATTGCCGCGATCGGTGAACCTCTCAACGGCATCCCGCAATCCTTGCTCCAGCATCGCTCGTGGGTGCCAATGCTCCCACACCGCGGTGGCGTACTGCAACAGCGGGGCACACTGCAGTTCGTATGAAGGGTCAATCTGTCGACGCTCGCTGAGCATGAGCAGAAGCGTCACACTCTTGCCGTCGAGACTGTTCGCCTGCACTCGAGCCTGCATCATGCGCGCCTGCCTAAGATCTGCGCCAGTGGTGCCTAGCACTCTGTACCCGTAGGTGTGCGAAGAGAGGGCAGCGCTGCGGATCATTGCGCGTAGCTGCCGCTTGCGAACAAAAGGGAAAAGAGCCAGCAGCTTGCGTGCTCGAGCTACGGCAAGCTTTTTTCTGCTAGCGCGGACAAACTGCTTGTGAACCTTACCAGCGGCAAAGTCGATCCCAAGGTTCCTCTCAGCGCAAACCCCCTTGAGCCTGACAGAGCGAAGCCGGGCCTCGAGGAGCCCGCGAAGACTAGCACTGGATGCGACAACCCTACTAATTTTAGGGCGACGGGCAAGCTGACCTTTCTCAACTGCGAATGCAGCAGTTGAGTGGCACGGGCGAACTCTGAAGCAACATCCCCCTCTCTGCCAAGCCGTTGCAGGCCAAAATCGCCCACCACATTGCCGAGGTGCACGTGCGGGAACGCTGCCTGCACGGCATCTAGAGGTGCCAGCGACACCAGCTGCAGCATAAGGGTGGCGAAATGGCACCCTGGCAGCACGGCCTGCAGTGTGTGAATTGGCGTGGACGTTACCTCGCCAAGAGCAAGCACGCGGGGGCAGCGATAGAGCTCAACCAAGCAGCTTGAGCTGCCGCGCTGGAAAGCCCGTGCGCGACGCTGCCTGCAAAAGAACTTCACGCCTGATATGCTCGAACGCTTTGGCCAGGTCAAGAAGCACAGGGGCGCTGGAGAAACCGCGAGCTCTGCCCCACTCCGCAGCAGAGGCCTGCAACCAATCCAGTGTGTCCGAGGAGCGCCCAGCCGTGGACCGCCAGAAGGGACGATCATGCTGCTGCTGCCAAGCTGCGACTAAGGGCTTCCGAAGCTTCCCCTGCACACGAGCCAACATGCGAATGCGCGCGATGGGCCTGAGGCCTCCATCACGCTTGGAGAGAAACGCTACCTTGGTCCATATTGAGGGCCAAGCACAGGAGGCTTCAACTTCTAAAAGGATCTCGAGGAAGGCTTCCAACGCGTGATCGGACAAAGCCAAAAGTTGGCGCGGACAGAACTGGTCAACCCCGCATGCTGACCGTCGCGGAAAGGAACGCACGCACTTTTTCAGCTGCTCGAGTGAAGGTCTCTCATAAAGGGGGCCAAGGTCCGTCGGCCAGACGATCTGATCACTGACAGCTCCAACCTTCCACCAACCCGACCACGCCACCTCAGGAGCCTCCACCTCCTCCTGGATCGCGCATGGCTTGCCGGCAGTTAAAGAGCTGGCGTGCCACGGCACGGCGGGCTTGGACAAAGCATGCAGAGCGGCTGCACCGTCAATCGAGTGCCTGCGCACCCAATCGCTCCAGCCAGCCTGCTTGCCTCGCTCTGCCTGCTTAAAAACTGCAACAGCACTCGCACCAATGAACTTCGCCGCTGCTGAAGCCAGCTCACGCGGCAACGACAGGGACAACTGGAGCAGCAGTAGCCAGGGCTCGGCTTCTTCAATCGGAACACCACTAACTCTGCGCCGAGCCTGGACACTGCGACCTAGCTTGAAAGTGCTGGCACGTAGATTAGGTGGCTGCCAGCGCGCAAGACCTTCGAAACAGCGAGCCAAGAGCCGCCACCAGAGGGAAGCTGGGCTGAGCGCAGGAAAGGCCAGCGGGTGAGGAAGCAGTGGATTGCGCGTGACAAACTGCGGAGGGAAAGCTCTGCCGTAGTACTCGGGATTCTCCGCGGGCGTGAGATCATGCACGCCCGCGAGATAGAGCTCCGCGTTAGCTACTCACGGCTGCCACTTCTCCGCGAGCGGGAGACTTGACATCTGCTTGCAACAGTGCTGCCATCGCGGTAAAGGATCAGCCCCCCTGCGCGATGCTGGATACTCGAGGGGAAAACGCCCGGGCACGCGTGCAGTGCGAAACTCAAGCCCGCACTGCGGGAGTGCGGAGAGCTGAAGCAGCACTGGACAATGCGGTGCTGTGCCTGCATCGGGCACGACGGAAACACAGGCTCGATGCGAAAGCGACTGCGATACAACAGAGTAGTCGATGGCACGACCCGCAGAGGCAGCAGCATTGGTGCAGGTGGCAGATGCTGGAAACAGGCAGACTCCGTCCAACGCTTCCACCCAACGACCTGGAGTTCCTCAGGTGGCATCTGGAAATCTCCACATATGACAAACGGCAAACCTACGGCCTTCACCACCTGCCCAACATCAGCGAGGATGGCCCAGTTCTTCTTAGACAGACCCTCGGAGTGATGAAGGTACAGATTGAACCACAGAAAGCCCAAAGGCGAGACACCGTGACTGTGCAAGATGCGCACGCGGCCCTCATGCATGACACTAGGCACGCACTCAACCTCAGCCAGGCCTGCAGCAGCGGGCACACGCTGCAGCAGCCCTCCTGATGTGCCGCCCTGCGCGGTGACCGCCGCAGCAGTGAAGGCTGCGCGCCATCCCAAGGCTCGAAGTTTGTGCTCCCAGATGTCGCACTTCTCTCTCAACATATGGTGCTCTTGGACGGCGACTGCAACAGCACCTCGAATCTGCTCATGCTGAAGCGCAGCCTCCAAACCACTGCGACGAGACACGTTCGCGGTGACCAGGGTGACGCTAAATATCAGATTCAGCAACCCCGTCCACGCGAGCCTTCTTTGTGGCGGCCTCCACGAGCTGGTCGAATATACCCTGGACGAGCCCGTGCTTGACTCCCTGCTGCTCGGCCTCGGACTGGATGTGCTGGCCAGCCCGTTGCTGCTCGAGCCAGGCGAGCAGCTCGGTGTGGGAGGCCTGGGCGCGCTGCCGCGCAGCGGCTGCATCGCTGGCAGCGCGTGCGGCACGCTGCGCCTCGGCCTCGGCCTGCGCCATACCCGCGGCCTCCCGAGCAGCCGCCTCGACTGGGGTGGTTGGGGCGCGCGCGGCTGCTCCCTCAGGCGGCTGGGCTGCAGCTGCCGCAGGAGCGCCATCAGCAGAAGGAGCGTCACCAGCGGCACCAGCAGCAATAGCACCTGGAGCCCCTGGTACATGGGTGGCGCCCTGCATGACCACGTCGGGCTCGGCGAGCTGCCGCAACATGGGGACGAGCGCCTGGAGCTGCTGGGCGAAGTCCGTGAGCCTGGGGTCCGCCTTGAGCCCATCGGCCAGGGCAGCGAGCGCCTGTGCGGAGTCCACCGCCTGCGCCATGCTCTGGTAGGCCAGTGCAGCACGCGCGGCGGCCTCCGCGCAGCGCGCCTTGGCCTCCTCGAGCTCCTTCTTGGCCACCGCCGCCGCTGTGACTGCCTTGAGGGCGGCCTCCTCGGCGCGGTCGGAGGCCCGCTGCGCCTTGTCCCGCTTGTCGGCCAGGACATCCTGCTCGATGCGCGCAGAACGCGCCTCTGCCCGTGGCTCACCAGCCCGCAGCGCACGGTGTGAGACCACCTTCGCCACCAGCTTGGGCGTCCAGTTTGCAGAGACCGCCTCGAAGTCGGCCGCCTCGAGCTTGGCATAGATTTCGATGGCCGAAGGCTCGAGGTACGAGAGCTTGCCGTCGCCCTGCCCTGACGCGCCACCGCCGTTGCCGCGCTTGCCACCGCCGCCGCCGCCGCCTTGGCTGCCATGGCCGCCGACCTGGGGCGGCCCCTGCAGCCAGGCGCCCAGAGTGCGCGTGCCATCCGAGGGGGCAGGCGCGCTGGGCGCGGGGCGACCGCACGCGCGGCAGTGCGTGCGCGTGCTCCTCCTCCTCCTCCTCCTCCTCCTCCTCCTCCTCCTCTTCCTCCCTCTCCTCCGCGGCTTCCCTCCTCCCGCCTTCTCCCTCGTCCTCTCGCCTTCCCCCCCTCTTCCCTCGTCGCCTTCCCAAAGTCCCCCCCCCGACCCCTCTGTTCACGGTTTTTGGCTCGCGGCCGCGAGGAGGTTAGGCAGCATGCGGGCAACGGCGGGGCTCATGCGTGGCGAAGTAAGGCACGAGGAAGGATGGCGGTAAGCTCGCCATCGCTCGGACGTCCATTCCCTGTGTTTTGTTCGGCTTCGTGCGTGGTTTTTTTTCTCGCCAAATGATCCAGGATGCTCCTCGATGGCCCTCGCCGAAGGAAAATGCACACGTCCGAGCGATGCCAAGTAAGGCGCACGCACCCATACCACCACACGCCCTGGGCGGCCGCGGCCCCGCGCGCGGCGCCGGGGCGGAGGTGGGGCGGAGCCCGAGCGCGCGCGGCCGGGCCCCCGGACTGATCTCCTCGGCAGATCCGCGCACGCCGTCTAATAGCAGACCCTCCGGGCGTGGACGGCGGAGAGGAATGCACTGAAGGGGCCCTGGGACACACAAATCAATACACACGCAAATCAAAAGATTCCCTATATTTTCCTATATTTTGGGGGTTTCTGTCTTCCCCGCCACTTCCCATGTTTTCCCATATTCTCTGGGGAGTCGACGATTAATTGTGTCTGTGTGTTTCCCCTCCTAAAATATACGTCGGTCGGAAGAGGTAGGTAAAAACATGAAGTAGGAAGGCGGATAGAGTGGATTGCGTCCAGTCCCTCCCAGAGAATCACAGAACACAGCAGCAGCAGCAAGGCGACGCATGAAGTGGGAGGGCACCTGAAGCAGACTGGGAGGTGGGAATCCAAAAACACCCACTGTCAACGGCTGGCGTGTAATGGGTGGCGATGGTGATGGGCCTGTCAGAGCATAAAACAAGACTAGGATCGGGATAAATCGCTCCAAAGCCTTCCGGAGCGCTCTCAGAGCGTTCCGGAACGCTCTGGAGCGGCCGCGGCGCCCAATACATCCTCCAAACCCGCCGATTCTCAGAGATTTCGAGTTATCCCGATCCGACTTTGTCCCGATCTTCGCGTCGTTTTAGAGCACGTGCGGGACATACAGATGCGAATGAAGCCGCGATGCACGAGGGGGGGGGATGAGGCAGAGGAAGCCCGGCGCGGGCGGGCGAGGGAGGGGAGGAGACTGGGCTCCCGATGTCCCTCGCCCCCGCTCCTCCACAACTCCACATCACGCTATCCATCTTCCTCATCCACACACTCGTCCTCATCCTCCTCGTCCTCCTCATCCTCCTCCTCCGTCTCGCTCCCTCCTGCTGCTCTATCCTTCCCATCGTCCGCACCCTCAACGTTTCCCTCAGCTGTTCCAGCAACAGCAGAACCTGCGCCCCTCCTTCTTGGAGCATGTGCTGATCCCCGCTCGGAATCGCTCCGCCGCTTCGCAGAGAGTGCAAAGCACGAGGAAGTGGTGGCGGCACGCTGCTGCTCGAGCAGCTCGCGCTGGCACGGGGCACTCCTCCTTGTTCATCAGCCTCTATATGTTCATCCCCGTCACTCCTCCCTCCTCCCATCAAAATCTCTTCATCTTCACCCCCCGCCCTGCGCGTCGCACCTCCTCCGCCTCTCCCTCATCGTCCATCCTCTCCCCCCTCCCCCCTCCTATTCCTTCTCCCCATCACAATCATCCTCATCCTCACGCTCCCGATCTCCTCCGTCTCCCCCCTCTCCGGGATATTGGTTGGGGCCCGAGTGGTCCACTGCGTGGGCAGGCAGAGAAGCAACACCGCATCTTCCCTGAAGCCAACATGTCAGTCTCGGGATGGACCTCCAGTGGGCCCTAAAGTCTGCCAAATGCGCATCCTCCTCCGCCGCCACTGCTGCTTCGTGCTTCTCCTCTTCCTCATCAGCCCAGTCCTTCTTTTCAACCCCTCCAACCACCACGATCTCATCATCATCCTTCTTCTCCTCAACCCGCTCTTCCAACGGTTTCGCATCCCGCTCAGACCACGCGCCGCAAAAAGCCTTGAAGCCCTTCCGACGTACCCAAACACATCACACAAGTGCCTTTGCTATGACCCCCCTCCCAAAACAATCAAAAATGGCTGCAATGGCTAAAGAAGCCTGGGACCACACGATGCCGAACACCTCAGAGAACATCCGAATATCACTCGTGAGCGGCCCACCGGCAGGGGGGCGACTGGCGTCTCCTTCTCGGTGATGGCCAACGCTCGTTCTAGAAGCTCTTTCTGCCTGTCCACTTGCCCTTGCCTCGCAGCGCGCAGAGGGAAGAACCGACGGGTCCGCTACGCCCGGTCGAAATCCAAACAGCGAAATCCACGATGACTCGAATTGCTGCTGCATCGAAACTTACTAGAGACTTATCTGAACTCTATGTAATAATCATGTGCTCGGTGGACTTCTAAAACCGAATCGTGATGAGCACCACCCGCTTCCACGAATGTTCCCCTTGAACACATGCAGCGGCCGTTCGTGTAAACGAAAGACTGCGACTCGTTTTACAACTGTACGAAAGTCGAAAATAGACCACTTGAGCATGCAGGAATCGCAAGACTGGATGAGTTCCTTCTTCCTTCACCCTCCTCCTCCCACTCCTTTTCCTCCTCCTCCTCCTCCTCGTCATCATCGTCATTATTATCAGCAGCATCATCACAACCACCACCATCACCATCTCCCCAACCCTGTCGCTCACCCTCACCTTCACCATCATCATCACCATCGCCAGTATCATCACCACCATCAGCATCAGAATCAGCATCAGCATCAGCATCATCGCCATCGTCGTCATCACCATCACCATCATTATCATCGTCATCGTCATCAGCATCAGCATCAGCATCAGCATCAGCATCAGCATCATCACCATCGTCATCATCACCATCACCATCACCATCATCGTCATCAGCATCATCATCATCATCATCGTCGTCATCATCACCATCATCATCATCATCATCATCATCAGTCCCTCACTGCCGCCCCTCTCTCCCTTCCTCCCTGGCAGGGTGGAGAATACCTAAAGCTTGTTGTCCAACCTTGGCGCAGCCTTTGCAGTCATAGGCAGGCCACGAGAATGCCCCGAACTCTCCGAGGGCTCACCACCCAGCTGCGAGCGGGCAGGGGCAGCATGGTTCCGACGCAGCTCTCGCTAGCATTCGGATAGTGCTGCTGTGCGGCCTGCAACTCGCGAATCGTGGTTTGAGATGCATTGCCTCCTCCTCCTCTTCCTCCTCCTCCTCCCCTTTCTGTTCCTTCTCTTCTTCCTCTTCCTCCTCCTCCTCCTCCTCCTCGTCCTCCTCCTCCCTCCTCCTCCTCCTCCCTCCTCCTCCCTCCTCCTCTCCACCTTGTGCTGGTGACCGGCCACCTGATGCTCCATCGGCCATCTGGCGTTACATAACAATGCAATCGTCACAGAACATGAGGTTCTTGTGGGCCGTTTGTGGTCACTGGACTTGCAGTGCTCCAGATGCGGCGTGATCACTGGCCCTTTAGGGTCAGAGAGCTGCATGGTGTTCACGAGCACGGTGATGCGCACGTGCACACAGGCACTGCGAAACTGACAAGCGTTGTGTTGCCCATGAGTGATGTCAAGCACAAAACATGTGCGTTCACGGGTCATGTTCAAAAGCCATGCAGTGTCATAGAGCATTGTGGTGGTCACCGACCCCGTGGTGTGCACAGGCCGCTGTCCTGCTCACCAGCAGCGCGATGCTTCGAACTCTGAGCGCTTGAAATCACAACGCCCGTGACGCTTATAGGCCCCATGGTGCTGTGGAGCTCACAGACAGCGCAGTGTACACACGCCATGTGTGCTTACAAAGAAAGCACATAGAAGACCAAGAAGATCTCCTCCCCCTTCATCAGCAAGCCGACGAAAGGCGACATGTGAATGCCGAAGACGATGCCATGCGTGCTTACAGCAACCTTTGCTGTGCTCATAACGCACGAGGTGCTCAGAGCTGAAAGGCCTTGTGGTGCTCACAAGCACTGTGTTGCTCGCAGGCGCCTGGGTGCTCGCTGGCACCGTACTGCTCGCAGCTCGCGGCATCATCGCACGCCCTACGCTTTTTTCTTGCGAAACCTACATCAACGTCTGATCAAGAGACCCGTGTGAGTCTGCACAGGTCCACCGTGTGCTCACAAGCGCCTTTGCTCACAACCACTTGGCTCGCAGGCCTGTGGTTTCAATGCGGAGTCGTGAATCTCTTTTGGCCCCGCACGGTGGGCTCATGGTGGTGCTCATGAGAAAAATGGTGCGCACTGGCAAGGTGGAGTGCTCCGGACGTGTGATGCTTACGAGCACTACGGCGATGGGAAGTTGCTTCTTCCCAATCGCTTCATCCTCAGTTTTCGATACTGACCCCAGCAGCTCGAGCGCGTGCCATTATGATAACGGACACCATGTTGCTCATGATGTTGTGCATGTGAGTACCCCAAGGTTTGTGACAGCCGCGACGCTCGTGAGAAACACAGCGCTCGTGGTGCACCTTCGGCCTGGCAACGGTAAGCCGCCTTCCCCCCGCACACACTTCTCCCTCCATTCCTCCCCTCCCCATCCCCGCGAAAACGGGAGCTACCCCATGCATGGGCAAACAGCCTAGAGGAGTAGCAGTACGGAGCTGCTGAGCAACCATGGATGCCAAAACAGTGAGCACACGAGGCACGCAGCATGATGCACGTGCACAGCTCATTACCCGTCGGTCGGAAGAAGTTGGTAGAAACATGAAGCAGGAAGGCGCTGGAAGCAGATTGGGCTTACGACCGCCGCCTGAAGAACACAGGAAGGAACAACACACGATTCTTGGACGTAGGAAGGCACCTGAAATAGACTGGGAGCTAGGAGTCCCCGAATACCTACTTTGAACGACCGACTAGTACGACTAGCATTAGGTCGGGCCGTCCCCCTACAGGGGAATTTTGAGCGACGATCAACCACAAAAAAGGTCTAAAGATAATCAAGCAAATGAAAGTGGTCAAAAAACCGCCCCTCGACTATTGTTTGACTATTTTTGGAAATTCCTCTTGTAGAGGGACAGGCCCGACTTAAGACTAGCACCACACATACGCCACGAGCGCAGGGCCGAACGCACGACGGTGGGCCCGACCGACGGGGGCCGAAAGGCGAGAGCGACCGCAAACGATGGGGCTCGACGGGGCCAGAGGGAGGCGAGCGTGAGGGGCGCGAACCAGGGCAGGGCCGAACACACGACGACGGGCCCGACCGACGGGGGCCGAAGAGCACACGCGACCGCACCGCTGGCCCTTGGCGTTGGCCGTGGGCCACGCTGGCCGTTGGCCGGGGCACGTCGGCCCGCGCTCGCTGAGCGCCGCGGCTTTGTTCTGCCTTTCTGGGCCAGCAGCCCTCCTCTTCCTCCTCCCCCTCCTCCGCCTCCTCCTCCTCCCCCTCCTCCCCCTCCTCCTCCTCCCCCCCTCCCCCCCAGGGGGGCCGCAGGGAGGCGAGCGAGAGGGGCGCACGAAGCGGGGCAGAGCGCTGGCCACAGAGCCGCCCGAGCCGCGCGGAGGGCGCGCACGCCCGTCACGCCCCTCCGTCCCCATAGGGGGGGGGCGGATCGAGGAGGGTGCTCTATCTGGGCTTATGTCGGGCGTGTCCCCCTACAGGGGGATTTTCGACGACAAAAAAAAATACCCAAACAATACCCCAAGAAGGCCAACACATGTGTTTGGACTACTTTTTGATAATTTTTGGGGTATTTTTTCACCGAAAATTCCCCCTGTAGGGGGACAGGCCCGACTTTACTCTAGGCTTACGTTGCTCCCATCGTATTTCAGGGTCACATCTCAAAAATCATGTCGAGCACCCAGAAGAGTATCGATTTGGGTGGCTCAAAGGGGGGTCCAGCTGCAAGGGGGTGGTGCAATAGATTTGGGGCAATTGAACTGCACATGTACTTCGCCGGAGAATTGTCTTGTATTGCATTGCAAGTAATACATGTCACGCGAAAGTCTAGCAACACAGTTGCGCCCCGGAATGTCTTGCACGCCCCTAGTGTGGTGCAATCCCAGAAATCTATTGCACCTAATCTATTGCACCACCCCCTTGTCGCTGGACCCCCTCTTGGGTCAAGCCGAATCGAGGAGGGTGCTCTAAGCTTACGTTGCTCCCTTCGTACTTCAGGACCACATCAAAATCATCTCAAGCACCCAGAAAAGTATCGAAACAATGTCGAGCGAGTATCGCCTCTCAGAGCCCGATACGCGAAAACCATCCAGTTTCGGTACTTTCTTGGGGCTCGAAATTATTTCTGGTGATCGAGGCTCAAGCAGGTTGGAACATCATTACTCGAAGCAGCGCTGGTCAAGACGAACGACCAACATCCACCCAAACCTTTGGAACGCGCATACAGTGGGGGGCAGTCCATTCAAGGAACCTTCCACAAGAAACCCAACCCCTGACACCCCAGGACGATCCATGGATTTTTGGCGCGGGAACGTCGCGCTCTCCACCGCAAAACCATCGAAGCCCAAGAAACCCAGGGCACCCTGGAGGCAAGCAGGGTGTTTCTTGGCATGGGCCTCCACTGTAAGCAGTGCTGGTCGAGACGAACGGCCAAAATCCACCCAAACCCTTGGAACGCGCATCTCATGGCCCCCTCGCGCCGTTCTGCGTCTGAGGGGCCCCCGGCCTCCAGATGGCCACCTTGAGGCGGGAGGCTCAGGTGACCGTGGCGCTTCGAGGCGTCCATGGGGAGGCTGTTGGGCCAAGACGGCCCCACGTGTTTTGAGACAGTCTCCGAGATCGCACAAGATGGCCAAGGTTGGCTCAAGATGGCCTCCGGGAGGCCCCAAGATGGCCCCAGACGGTTTCAAGTGGCCACGGAGCCACCACCAGAGGCCCCCGGAGGCCTAGATCCCCTCAAACCTGTGCAACGCAAACATTATGGCCATTCTCGCCGCTTTGCGTCCGAGGGGCCTCTGGCCTCAAGATGGCCCAAGGGATCGCCCAAGCGAGCCCAGGAGAGGCCCAAGGCGGCTCCAATGGCGCGCATTGTTTCCCCAATGCCGTCTCAAGGGGCGATTTGTTGTACTGGTCCGAGAGGGGCGGCACTACCGGTCGGTCCGAAGGAGTGGGCAAAAGCATGAAGTAGGAAGGCGGCGGAGATAGATTGGGTTTCCGCCCGCCCCCTGAAGAGGCCTCCTCCTCCTCCTCCTTATCTCCGCCTCCTCCTCCTCGTCGTCCTCCTCCTCCTCCTCCTCCTCCTCCCCCCTCCTGGTCGTCGTCGATGTCTTTCAGGGTCGGCTGCACCGGCCGTCAGGGCTTCACAATAGATTGGGTTTCCGCCCGCCCCCTGAAGAGGAGGGACGAGGGAAAAACAATTGATCCCTGGAGTAGGAGGGCGCCCAAAGCAGATTGGGAGCCGGGGGATCCAAAAGCACCTGCTTCCAACGACCTGCGTGTAAGCAAGGCTAGCTAAGACGAGCGGGCGAGCGGCAGCCAAGCCACAATCTGTTTTTGTTGAGGGGGGAGGCGCGGAGGACGACCACGAAAATCCGAATGCCCCGTGTTGAACTTGCAGGCGCCGGTCGGAGCGGACAACTCCTGCCCCCCTGGGCAAGCAGAAGCCAACAACCGACCGAGGAGGAGGAGGAGGAGGGAGGAGAAGGAGGAGGAGGGAGAGGAGGAGGAAGGAGGAGGAGGAGGAGGAGGAGGAGGAGAGAGGAGGCCGAGGAGGGATAACCTGCACCCAGAGGCCCCTCCCGAGGCCCAGACGCACGGCGTTCCGCCGTGGCGACGAGGGAGCCCTCCAGAGGCCAGGCGCCGCAGTCTCAGCTCGCCCGCCTCGGGTTGGGAAGTAACTGCTGGGAGGTCATCGTCGGAACGACTACGGTAGGTTCGCGCGGCGTCGGCACGCGCAAAGGTTTTTGACTCCGCGTCGACCATTCAACCTTGAATCGATCGCGGCCCCGATCGTTCAAAATTGAATTCTGCGGGTCCAGTGGCGTCACCGCGTTCCTCGGTGCTTCCGGGTCGCAGAATTCAACCTTGAACGCCTTCGCTGGCGTCGCCGGCGCGCCAACGCCGCACGAACCTACTGTAAGGTTAGGTCGGGCCTGTCCCCTACAGGCGGATTTCGGACGAAAAAACAAGAATACTCAACGACTATTCCAAAACATTCAAAACTACTCAATTCATCGTCCCCGGACTATTTCTCAAATAGTTTTGGATATTTCCCCCGGAGAGGGACATGCCCGACTTAGTATTAAGGCGGAGCAACCCCATTGCGGGGCTGTTACGCCAGAGTGGGCTTCGGGTTATGCGGGGTTAAGCCGCATTAAGCGGATTGAGCGGGATTAAGCGGGATTAAGCTGGACTTCGGACCAAGGCAAATTCAGAATTTGACCTCCCAAGGGTTGCATCCGAACTCTGGGATGAGTCGAAGAGGATGCGGAAAGGTCGGGGACCTGCTGGCTTGGGTCAGTCCAGACATGGGCCAGCAAGGCATTGCAGGAGCCTGGAAAGCCCTGCAAGATCCTGCAGGATCCTGCGCCCAAGCCTGGGTCAGTGCGGCCCTGGCCCTGCAGACTTCTTCAAGGTCTGGCGCTCTAACTGACCTCCGTTTGCACTGATCTCGTCTCTTGAACCCCAACAGGATCGGAAGCTGGGCGAAGGCTGGCAAATCCGTTGCTGCTAAAACGGTCTTCCCAGGAGAAAGAAACAAATTCCATAATAAAACTCAGCGCACTAAATGATAAACGGGCTGCTTCCCGGAAGGAAAAACAATTTCCCGGAACTCCGTTTTAGCAGCGACGGGTTTGCCAGCCTCCGCCTGGCTTCCACCCACTCCTGGGGATCGGCCTCTCGTCCTGAAAGTCGTGTCTTGGCAGCATCGAGGCCAGGCAAGGGCCCCCCCTAGAGGCCGAAGGGAGTGAAAAACTCTCCGTCGCATTGCTTCACGACGCGAGAGGGGGTCGGGGGAGGCAGCAGACGTGGGAGCGCCCAGCGCCAGAAGAGACACTGGGCAGCCTTCCGCAGGCGTTGCTCAGGCTGGTGAGCGTGACCGCCAGGTCCACGTGGGTGGGGCCGTAGAGCCTCTCCTGGCGCAGGGGCGACCCTGGGAAGAGGGGCCGAGGCTCCAGGCTCAGAGGGGCCTCCTTCCGGGGCCTCCTCCTCCTCCTCCTCCTCCTCCTCCTCCTCCTCCTCCTCCTCCTCCTCCTCCCTCTCCCTCCCTCCCTCCTCCCTCCCTCCCTCCCTCCCTCCCCTCCCTCCCTCCTCCTACTCCTCCTCCTCCTCCTCCTCCCCCTCCTCCTCCTCTCCTCCTCCTCCTCTCCTCCTCTTCCTTCCTCTCCTCCCTCTCCTTCTCTCCTCCTCCCCCCCTCCTCCTCCCCCCCCCCCTCCATTCCCTTTCCTTATAAACAACTTTTCCTTGTCGCACCCCGAGGCCAGTTTTTAGGGCGGGCCAGGCGTTTCGCCTGAGACTTCCTCACAATGTATGACTCTGGAGCTTAGATATTGGCAACAATTTCGCAGATGGAGGGCGGTTCCTTATCAAAATGTGGCTCTCGCCTTGGCGCGGCGCACATTCGTTCAAACTATGTCCAAGCGTTTCACGGATTGAGGGCGGGTCGTTTTCAAAATGCGGCGCTCGCCTTAGCGCGGCGAACATTCCTTTTTAATAATTTACAAGAGCTTCGTGGATTGAGGGCGGTTCCTTATCAAAATGTGGCTCTCGCCTTGGCGCGGCGCACATTCGTTCAAACTATGTCCAAGCGTTTCACGGATTGAGGGCGGGTCGTTTTCAAAATGCGGCGCTCGCCTTAGCGCGGCGAACATTCCTTTTAATAATTTACAAGAGCTTCATGGATTGAGGGCGGTTCCTTATCAAAATGTGGCTCTCGCCTTGGCGCGGCGCACATTCGTTCAAAAGATGTGCAAGAGCTTCACGGATTGAAGACGATTCATGTTCAAAATGTGGTTCTCGCCTTAGCGCGGCGCACATTCGTTTTAAGCATGTGTAAAGAGCTTCACGGATTGAGGGCGGGTCATTTTCAAAATGTGGCTCTCGTCTTAGCGTGGCGCTCATTATTTATACAAAGCTGCAAGAGCTTCACGGATTCAGGGCGGCTCCTTTTCAAAATGTGGCTCCCGCCTTAGCACGGCGCCACATTCATTTCAACAAGTTGCAAAGAGCTTCACGAATTGCGGGCGGTTCCTTCTCAAAATGTGGCTCTCGTCTTAGCGCGGCGCACATTCGTTTAACAAATGCAAGAGCTTCACGGATTGAGGGCGGCGCCTTTTCAAAATGTGGCTCTCGCCTCAGCACCGCGAACATTCGTTTTAAAGATTGCAAGAGATTCGCGGATCGAGGGCGATTCCTTTTCAAAATGTGGCTCTTGCCTTAACGTCGTGTACAGTCGTTGTAGAGGCTTACAAAGAGTTTCATTGTGTATGAAAGGATTCAGGTTTACGCGAGCGCAATGGTTACGTTGATTCGCTGAGTTGATGTCCCAGGAATGGCTTTCTGACACGATGCTGGATCGTCAACACGCAACAGATAGGTTGATCCGTGGTCTTGGAATCCCGAGGTTGTCTTCCAACGAGGCAATTCCCTCCATGGACATGAACCGTTGTAGGAGCCTATGAAGAGGAGCTTGGAGGGAGGGTTTCTTCCAACATCGTTGATGCCTCTTGGGTTTGCGCTGATCCCCCTCCTCGCCGAGGAACCCAAAGACCGCCCAAGCCGCGCGATTTTACAAACGTAGCCTCAATCAGCTTCAAGTCGTTTCAAGGGGGTCTCCAACACACAGCATGAAGGGAACATCGAAAATGGTAACACCACCGTCTCCGGCGGCTCCGCTGGCACCAACACCCGCGCCGACGTCAACACCGACCCCAACACGTTCGCCAGCGCCCACGCCTGCACCAACGCCGGCGCCTACGCCCGCGCCGACGCCGGCACCGTCTCTGGCGCCTACACCAGCACCAACGCGGGACCCTGCTGCAGCACCTACGCTAGCGCCCATGCCTGAGAGATCAACGATGTTATCTGGACCTAATGTGTTTGCAAATGAAAAACCGTCCTCGCATGAAATTTCGAAATTGTTTCACGACGGCGCCCAAACATCTCAACATACCTCTTAACATTTTGACGCCTGGAATGGGTACGGAAAAAGTGCGTACAGTGCCCAACAACAAATGTACCTAATAACGAAGACTGATAGGTTTCTCGTGGTCTCAAACCGCGGGAATCCGGGGACTCCCTTTTTGCATTGCCAGGAGCCACATTTTGACTGCCCGGAGCCAACAGAACACCATTCCCAGGCCACATTTTGAATGCCCGGAGCCAACTGTAGGCCACTTCGTGTTCTTCGTGTTCCAAAAACACCATTCCCAGGCCACAGTTTGAATGCGCGGAGCCAACTGTAGGCCACTTCGTGTTCTTCGTTTTCCCAGAACACCATTCCCAGGCCACATTTTGAATGCCCGGAGCCAACTGTAGGCCACTTCGTGTTCTCCGTGTTCCCAGAACACAATTCCCAGGCCACATTTTGAATGCCCTCTCCAATGGGTAGCGGTCGCCCGACCGCCACCCATTGGAGAGGGCCGCTCGGAACTTCTGCTTCGGGTTGAAATATCTCCTGAAAGATACCATGCACTCGGCTTACACCATTAGTATATCAAACGACGCTCCTTAACAAGTTCGAGTGTGGGGTCAATTGGCTCTTACTGTTGCTACGGACGGCACGCATCTTACTCGTGAGTGGGAGGAGGAGTGGGAGAAATGGCAGGAACTACAGCAGCACGAAAAACTAACAGAACTTGTGATTAAATGGGACTCCTTAGTAATCCGGGCGACAGCAGGGATGAAGGGAGGGCCGAAGGGCCAGTCTAAAGGTGAGGCGAAGGCGTAGGAAACACGGCAAGTATCAGGGAACGTCCGACTTGATACCGGAGCCGCTGGACAAGAACATCCACAATCTGATCCGCCTAACGTTTTGATATTTGGGGACATGCTGGGCAAAACTACCACCTTCTCCAACAAGTCAGTTTCAGATACCTGCCCCGGAAAAGTCGACAGCAGAGCCGTACCTCCTCAGCCTAATTCGCTTGATCCCGATGGTTCTGGACGTACCCTGGGCAAAACTACCGCTATGTTCATACCTACGGAGTCATGTACATTTTTCGCAAACGGCATGGGCAACGACACCAGGCCGCAACCACAATTTCATATTCCATCTTCTTCATCTTCGTCTCCTGCTACTCCCCCGGCTTCTTCTACATCATTTTCTTGCTTGCCACCGTCAGGGTCTCCAGCTCGCCAGGCCACCCTGGGACAGGCACCTGCTGCTTTGACGTCCGCAATTTTCAGGCCAGGGAAGCTCCCAGACTCGTGGGTGTGATCCAAGCATATGTGTTCTTCCCTCAATACGATGCGCCTTTGCACATTGAATGTCGAAGGAATGCGTGGGAATTCAATTGTAAAATTAACAGAAGTGGCCAAAATCATGGAAAACTACGCCGTCGACATTTTATGCATACAGGAACAGCTGCATGGAACCGAATATGTCATACAAGATGGGTGTCTTTACTTTCTCTCCGGCGAGGCAAACTTGGATTCCAGATCCGATGCAGGAGTGGGGTTCGTCATATCACCTCGGGCGTGCCCTGCCGTCGTTGCTTTCAAAGCTATCGGCCCTAGAATGGCTACACTCAGAATCAAGGTCTTCGGAGGCATCCTGACGCTCATTTCCGCATACGCCCCCCACAGCGGACATGACCCAGAAGTGCGACAGACGTTCTATGCAGACATCGCCAAGCACGTAAAGCCAACAACGCCGCACAGTTCCACTGTCGTTTGGGGTGATTACAATGCTAAGATATTATGCCGAGGAGCGGGTGAAGAGGACATTATTGGAGAACACGTTTTCCGAGAACCTCCACAAAAACGACCCGCTTCACAGGTGACGAACCGGCAGCTGTTAATGGAGTTATGCGCGGACTGCGATACGGTGGTCGCGAACACATTCTTCGAAGGGGAGGACGCTGACAAGATCACCTACCGGAACTTGGGAGTGCAGCCGATGCAACCGGTATCGCCGGAACTCTTCTCTCAAATTGATCACGTTTTATGCCATCAGTCGATACTTGCATGCTTGGAAGAATGCTGGTCTACCAGAGCAGCCCTCGACAGTGGCGACAGTGTCACAGATCGCAGCCCCCCAGGGATGGCGAGGTCTAATTTGAGTCTGCGGTGGGTACCCACTGTGCTGGGTCCCCCAGCACAGTGGGTACCCACTACCAGAGCTGGAGTAGCTACCAGAGCTGGAGGTCTTCTTGCATGCATGGAAGAATGCTGGTCTATCAGAGCAGCTACCCTCAATAGTCATCACGTTCTAACATGCGCTCCGCTGCAGCTCGAATTCCAACGATCTTCACGGGCCGGCGCGCCTAAGAAGAAGAAGATTGATGTTGGTGCTCTGGCGGACAGGCATACCCAGGAGCTCTTCACCGCGACATTCTCCAATGCCATCGTGGACCCACCTTTGTCCCCTTCCGTGGACGAAGCGGCGGAACATTTACAGCGAGCTTTCGATGCCGAAGCTGCGGTTCTTCCAAGCGGTGAAATACGACCACGAAAACCATGGACAAATACGTTTACTTTGGGACTCATTGCCGAGAGACACGCCTACCGCAAATCACGGGACAACAACAACGAGCTCCGCCTACACAGACTCATACAGAAAGCTGGGAAGAAAGATCGTGCGGCCTGGTTGGACAATTTAGCCTCTTCTGGCAGCTGGGACGCGGTCAAGCAACTACGAAGACCTGCGCCACGTAAGCACGTGGGAGTGAAAGACTTGAATGGGAATCTTTCTGACACTGCAGCCAGACCAGACACCCTTGCAGAGTTTTTCGAGCAGGTGCAATTGCGAGTCTGTTTTGCCAACGCGGTGCCCACGAACACCGAGATGCTTGGATGCACCTTGAAGATCAACACCGGCACGTTCTCTTTAGAAGAGCTTCAGGCGGCGATCAAGAAGATGAAGAACAAGAAAGCAGCAGGACCTGATGACGTGCCTGCGGAATTCTGGAAAATCGTTTGTGGAGACGAACATGCTTGCGCACCACTCCTGCTCGTATGCCAAACATGCTGGGAGACGAAGAACATACCGTCAACGCGGAGGCGGGCCAACGTGGTGCTGCGCTGTTCAAGAAGGGGGACGCCACCCTACCAAGCAACTACAGACCGATCTCCCTTTCGGCCGTGGGCTACAAAGCATTGGCGTCGATGCTACACCAGAGACTCTTAGATGGTGGGTGCGAGCGGAGAATGCGGGAATATCAATTCGGTTTCCGCCCAAAGCGTGGTACCTCTGACGCCTTGATGTTAGTCAGGAGGATGGTGGATGCAGCTCATGTGAACAATGGGGGTGCCTTATTATTTCTATTATTAGATTGGGCGAAAGCTTTCGATCGCCTGAAGCCCGACAGCATGTGCATGGCCTTGGAGAGATTTGGATTACCACCGCAAATTGTCAACATGATTCGTGGGATTTACGCTGAGCGGTACTTCACCATTGTTGATCATTGCGGAGCTTCCTCGGAGAGAAAGCAATCTGCAGGTATCGCCTAACCGTGATGCTGCATGACGCCCTGGACTCGCTGGAACTACAACCAGAGCCAGATTATGTGATCACCAGGGACATTTTGTACGCAGACGACACTCTCTTGGCGTCGCAACACCCCGAGAATTTGCAGCTCATGCTCGAATCAATTGTCACGGAAGGTCGTAAATATGGCATGGAACTTAATTGGGATAAAAACAGTGCAGATGAAAATATCGTCAACAGGAGAAATAAATAGACCTACGGGCGAAAACATTACATCCGTCAGGGAAGCCGTATATTTGGTTGGGCTCGTATCTTGCGATGGCAAAGCTGGTAGTGAGTTGTCTCGGAGGCTGGGCGAAGGAGCGAGCATCTTCAAGCAGCTGCAGAAAATATGGTCTCACGCCGCCATTGGATGGAAAAGGAAGTATAATAGTTACTCCGCTTGCGTTTTGAGCAAGGTCTTGTACTCGTTGGATTCAATATGGCTTCTCAAGTCCGAGAGAACGAGATGAGACGCCTTTCACTGCAAATGCATCCGGAAGATATTGGGTATTCCGCCGTCGTTTATTTCCAGGGTCGCCAACGCCACCGTGCTGGACAAGGCCGGATCAAAGCCGCTCTCTGATATACTATCTGACAAACAAGTGGCGCTGTACACTAAGATTGCAAATGGAAGTGGATATTGCTTGGCGAAAGAAATACTCTGCCATGCTGACGGCTCTCCCAGACAATGGGCTTCCAGGAGGAGGCGTGGGCGGCCGGGCAGCGATGGGCCACCTCGGTGTATGAGCTCTTGCAACTATAGACAGTAGTCCCTCTTCCTCCTGCTCCTGCTCCTGCCCCCCTTCCTTCCCCTCCTTCTGCCTCGCCGCCCGTCTTGTGCTTTGCAGTCGGGTGCTCCATCTTCTGCTTCACAGTCGGGCGCTCCATTATCTGCGTCACAGACGTGATGCGTTCCGTTTTCCATTTCTAATGCAGTAATTCCCGAAGGGTTGCCAATTGCGCGCTCTTCTGCCTACGCGTTCTTCCGGATGTTTGGCTCTGTGGTGGTGGTGGTGGTGGTGGAGCCAACTGTAGGCCACTTCGTGATCTTCGTGTTTCCAGAACACAATTCCTGTATCATAGTTTGATTGCCCGTAGCCAACAATGGGCCACTTCGTGATCTTCGTGTTCCCAGAACACAAGTCCTGTGCCATATTTTGAACGCCCGAGCTGAGGCAGGCTGAGGCCGAGACAAGCTGAGGCCGAGGCAGGCTGAGGCTGAGGCTGAGGCACGCCGAGGCAGGCTGAGGCTGAGGCTGAGGCAGGCTGAGGCTGAGGCAGGCTGAGGCTGAGGCTAACGCAGGCTGAGGCCGAGGCAGGCTGAGGCTGAGGCTGAGGCAGGCTGAGGCTGAGGCAGGCTGAGACTGAGGCTGAGGCAGGCTGAGGCTGAGGCTGAGGCTGATGGAGGCTGAGGCTGAGAGGATGACGCTGAGGCTGAGGCAGGCTGAGGCTGAGGCTGAGGCCGACGCAGGCTGAGGCCGAGGCTGAGGCAAGCCGAGACAGGCTGAGGCTGAGGCTGAGGCTGAGGCTGTGGCTGTGGCTGAGGCTGAGGCAGGCTGAGGCTGAGGCAGGCTGAGGCTGAGGCCGATGCAGGCTGAGGCTGAGGCAGGCTGAGGCAGAGGCTGAGGCAGGCTGAGGCTGAGGCCGAGGCAGGCTCAGGCTGAGGCCGAGGCAGGCTGAGGCTGAGGCTGAGGCAGGCTGAGGCTGAGGCAGGCTGAAGCTCAGACAGGCTGAGGCTGAGGCTGAGGCAGGCTGAGGCTGAGGCAGGCTGAGGCTGAGGCCGAGGCAGGCTCAGGCCGAGACAGGTTGAGGCTGAGGCTTAGGCTGAGGCTGAGGCTGAGGCTGCGGCAGGCCGAAGCTGAGACAAGGTGAGGCTGAATGGGGGGGGAAGGGAGGGGGAGGGGGGGGAGGAGGGGAGGCTGAGGCAGGCTGAGGCCGAGACAGGCTGAGGCCTAGGCAGGCTGAGGCTGACGCTGAGGCAAGCCGAGGCAGGCTGAGGCCGAGGCTGAGGCTGAGGCTGAGGCAGGCTGAGGCTAAGGCAGGCTGAGGCTGAGGCTGACGCAGGCTGAGGCCGAGGCAGGCTGAGGCTGAGGCTGAGGCAGGCTGAGGCTGAGGCCGAGGCAGGCTGAGGCTGAGGCTGAGGCAGGCTGAGGCTGAGGCCGAGGCAGGCTGAGGCTGAGGCTGAGGCAAGCCGAGGCAGGCTGAGGCTGAGGCTGAAACTGAGGCCGGCTGAGGCATCCGTAGGAATCCATAGGAATCCTGGGGAATCCTTAGGAATCCGTAGGCATCCTTGGGAATCCGTAGGCATAGTTAAGCATCCTCAGCAATCCTTAGGAATCCCTAGGAATCCTTAGGATTCCATTGGATCCTAAGGCCGTTGCCACTGCGACTGTCATTGCGAATGCGACTGCGACTGCGAGAACAGCAGAAATTCTACAACTGGATTCTCACCTGAATCTTTAAGGGGAATGCTTCCAGATATGCTTATACACATCGCTGTTAGGTTGCTTTGCCGGGATATGTGTTCCAAAACCGCCAGCGGCCGCTGTTGGACAGGCGGCTTTCTGTCTCAGATGAACAAGGCCCGCGGCGGCACCGACAGCAAATCCTGTGTCAGAGTAGACAGGAACTGCTGTCGGCCTTCGCACCCCTTCTTTCCGTACCCCCTTCGATCGTCCCGACAAGCATCCCAGCATCCCATGAGGCCCCCAAGACAACCCAGGAGGTCTCCCCGAGGGCACCAAGACGGCCCAAGAGCGCCCCAAGACGGCCCAAGAGGCGCCCATGACGTCCCAAGAGAGCCCCAAGACGGCCCAAAAGACGTTCCAAGACGGTCCCGAATCGCTGAACGATTGGCCCAATAAGCTCGCCATGGCTCCATAAAGCCTCAATACGCCTTCGGGACGCCCCAAAAGCCTTCCCGATAAGTCCCCGAGATGGTCATCCGCAGACGTTGGCGTTCTCGCTACTTCTATTTTCCGACGCTCTAAGATGGCCCAAAAAGACTCCGAGAAGCCTCAAGACGATCGTCCCGACAAGCATCCCAGCAAAGCTCCTGATGGAGGAGGAGGACGAGGAGGAGGAAGAGGAGCAGGAGGGAGGAGGGAGGAGGGAGGAGGGAGGAGGGAGCAGGGAGGAGGGAAGAGGGAGGAGGGAGAAGGGAGCAGGCAGGAGGAAGGAGGGAGGAGGAAGGAGGGAGGAGGGAGGAGAGAGGAGGGAGGAGGGAAGAGGAGGGAGGAGGAGGAGGAGGAGGAGGAGGAGGAGGAGGAGAAGGAGAACCACTTCCAACGGAAGAGGGGGCCGGTTGCAGAGGGCGACGTTCTCACGGCATACGGCCAGAGAGAAGGTCTGGGGAGAGCGTGCCCGCCCCGCGGTCCTTGATCTCCAGGGACCGCTCCAGGTTCGCCTGGAGTGCAGAAGCACGAACGGGCACGGGGCGATTCGATTCGATTCGATTCGCGCTCGCTCTCGGATCAGTCTCCGTGCCCATCAGGGCGCCAACGTTCAGGCCCTGGCCTCTCTGTGAAACACCAACCGATTAGAATGGGATCCGACTGTTACCATGACCGCCCAGACCGCCAAACCATGGATGCATGAGCTGAGCGCCCGCGCCTCGCCCAGTGCTCACCGTGGATGTGCAGCCGATGACTCTGGGCAGGCAGGGCTTGGCATCGTGAGTGCTGGGCGATCCATGGTCCAAACTAACCTTCCTTCTCCTCCACCTGCTGCTCCAGACTCATCCATCCCCTTACCTCTTCCTCTTTCCTCCTCCTGTTCCTCCACCTCATCCCCCCTCCTGCTTTCTGCGCCTCCTCCGAGTCACATATGTCGTACCACCTCCGACAATTCCTCCTCCTGCTGCTCCTACTCCCACATCCCACATCTTCGGCTCTGCCTCCTTCCCTTCCCGGTATACTCAATTGACTCCTCCTCGCCATACCGCTGGACCTGTTGGTAGGGTGGTGATGGCGCTTCGTCGCAATACCGATTCATGGACTCGAGCCACGCGCGCTTCGCGCGCGCTCAGATTCTTGCAAGTTCTCGTTGGGTTGAAGTGTTCGGCGTCGGAGGACATATAGTGTCACACGGATCGTGCCCCTCAGGGAGCTCCACCGACGGCCCCAGATACAGGCTTGGCCTAGCGTCCCCCCGCCAGTGCTTGCACATCCCTCAAGGGGATCGCCCCCCCACAAGGATCTCCACCTACGCCCCCAGAGACAAGGTTCGCAGAGTGGCATGCCCCGCACGCGGATCGTGCCCAGAAATGCATAGTCGCCCGGTTAACTTCGGCAAACCTCTCACACGGATCGTGGCCCGCAGAGAGTTCAACAGACGGTCCCAATGGCAAGAAGAGTCGCATGCCGCCCCCCCGCCCACTTCAGCACACCTCTCCCACAGATCGTGGCCCGCAGGAATCCACACCTATAGCCACAGAGGCAGGGTTCGCATTGCGCCCCCCCGCCCATTGCCGCACACCCCATCACGCGGATCTTGCACACATGGGACTGCATAGGGATGGGTCCGTAGCCATTGCGAGCTGACATATGGCCTTCGGCCCAACCGCTACTGTGCCTGAGTTTTGCTTGGCCCAGAGGATTTTTGGATATCTGTGACTCGGGATCTGTTGGCATGCTTCTCGGGCGCCTCGCGGAGCGCCTTCTCGGAAGCTTCTTGGGGCCTCTCGGGCGCCGCTGTGGGCATGTGTTTCAGACATGTTTGAATGTTCTACAAAGGCCGTTCGTGGGCCTCTTGGGGCCTCGTTTGGTGGCCGCGGGGGTCCCCTGGGGGCTTACGTGGGGAGGGAGGGAGGGATGATTTGCACGAGGAGGCGGAGGAGGAGCAGGAGGAAGAGGAGGAGGAGGAGGAGGAGGAGGAGGAGGTTTCGACATGTCAATTGGAGTTGGAGCCCCCCCTCTCGGATACCTCGTGGGGCCCTCTCGGGCCGCCGTGGGGTCGGAGCAGCTGCCTCGGCGACGTCTGCAGTGCCTCGGCGACGCCAGCGAGGAGAACATCGGGCTCCACATCGAGCCGCATCGCCGATGCATCGACGATACGGCGCAATCCTCCGACCCCATCTGCTCCGACCCCATCCAGGAGGCCTAGATGGGCGCCTCTTGGACCGTCTTGGGGCTCTCTCGGGCCGTCCTGGGGCCCTCTTAAAGGGCCTCGTGGGCCGCCTCGGGGCGATCGTCGGGGCCTCTTGGGCGGTTTGGGCGCTGTCAAGTCCCAGAGTGCGAATATGCGGTTGACATGCACATCTCCATAGGGGATGCAGCAAATTTGGCCTCCTGGGGCCCTCTCGGGAAGCATATTGGAGCCCTCTTAGGACGTCTTCGGGGCTTCTTGAGCCGTCTTGAAACAATTGGGGAAACGTAAGACTCGGGTACGGGGGACTCGGGTTGGCCTGACGGGGGCCATCGTGAAAATGACGAGATCCAATCTGAAATTCGACGCGGGCTCCCGCTGCAGACATCCCACGAAAACCGGGCCGTCAAAATCCTGGACGCGCTCGTCAAACAACTTGGGCCAACCCGAGATCTGGCTTACTCGAGTCTTACGCTTCCCCTGGAATCTTCGAGGGTCGCAGAGCGAGGCTACTCGAGTACTCGAGTATCCGAGCACCCGAGTAAGATTCTCTAAGGAGTCACTGCTGTCAAACCTGGATGTATTGTTCTCTCCTGTCAAGCCGCTGCCACTTCCTGCGGCAGAACCATACACTCTGATCTTGCTGTACCCTAGCCACAACCAGCTGCTAAACTGACAAGCTACAACCTGGGCCTCCCTGGGCCTCGACGAGACTGCACCAGTGCGACCACGAGGACTCCAGAACGCCGCGCACGTCGGCCGCGCACTCATGCGCACGCCAAGCACTCGGGGGAAGAGAGGAGGAAGGCAAACTCTGTCAGCGAGATGAGTAGCTTAGCTTGCCAGAGAAGCCAGGCACTGGATTTACCGCTCTCCCCATGCCAACCACCTCCTGCGGCAGGACGAAGGGTTCCGACTCTCCCAGCCCCTTCCAAGGTCACAAATCTCTGGCGGGCTCACAGGGAAATCAGTACAGTCACCGTGCTACCAAGAGAGCGTTTCTTTATGTTCGGCGATGACAGGCGTCATGGGGGGGGATGCGGGAGGGGGTATGACGTAACGCCCCCCCCCCCGCCGTGTGGTTCCGGCACCACAGCCGCGCCCGCGCGCACGACGCGCGACGCGCGACGAGCGACGAGCGACGACGAGGACGACGACGACGAGGACGACGCGAGCAAAATGTAGGTGACAATATGCCCCACTGCACCTTTGTACAGATCGCTCGCGTGCACCACAACGCGCGCGAACACCACAACACCTGCGTACACCGCAAGAACCGTGTGCAACACAACACCTGTGTACACCACAGTGCTTGCGTACACTACAGCGCCGGTGTACATGTGTACACCGCAACAACCATGTGCAACAGAGCGCCTGTGTACACCACGATGCTTGCGTGCACCGCAGCGCCTGTGCACGCCACAGCGCCTGTCTACACCACAGCATCCGCGTGCAACGCAGCGCGACTGTACACCAGTGCCTGCGTGCAGGACAGTGCTGATAATCGAATGCGATATTTTTTCCTCTTCCCTCCTCCTCCACCTCCACCTCCACCTCCTTCTCCTCCTCCTCCTCCTCTTCGTCCTCCTCCTCCTCCTTCGTCCTCCTCCTTACCCCCTGTCGTGCGGGGTTGCGCTACAGCGCACGTGCGCAATTCAGCGCGCAGTGCACCGCATAATGGTCTATTGAATCGGCCCACTTGGTTCTCGCACGGCCAATTTAGCTGGAGCCTCCTGCACGCAGATGGGAGAAGTCAGGGTGATGCGGGCGGACTCGGGAGAACTCGTAGATTCCAGCGGCGCTCCTTTGTCCATAAGGATTCCTTTGTATTGGTTTCTGTGGAATCCACAAGCGCTCCACTTTGTCATACGGATTCCTTCGAACATTCGATATGCAAGTGTGGCGCTGTGTTGCACACGCTTGCTGTGGTGCACACAGGCGCCGTGGTGTACACAGGCACTGCAATACACGCAGGCACTACGGTGTGCACTGGTGCTGTGTTGCACACGGCTGATGTGGTGTATATTTTGGCTCAAGCGATCGCACGGCCGCGCCTCCCCTCCCTCGCCTCCTCCGGGAGGCCTTCGTGATGGCGGCGGCACGGCCTAGAGCGGGGCCCACACGGCTGCGGAGAATGGCGCCGCCCTGGTAGCGGCGGCCGTCCGCGCAGCCGTGGAGGCCAAGGCGCCGCGGCGCACGGTCTCGGCGCTGGCGGGTGCGGTGGCAGCGGTCGCGCTACGTGCGCGAGCCGCGCCGCCCGCAGGTGCTGACGCGGGTCGCTGCGGCGGCGCGGGCGACGGCGGCGCAGCGTGAGCGGCGTCGTCGCCGCCGCGCGCGCCTCGCTGGTCGACGCGCACTTCTCCATGGTGAAGCGGCAGCCGAGGCTGCCAGGGTGGCGGGGGACGCGGGCCGCCGGCCCGCCGCCCAGCAGGCCGCGGGCGCGGCCGACAGCGGCGTCGGAGGCGGCGGCCGTGGCGCCGCTCCTCCTGCGGCCGCCACAGGCCTGCCGCTGGAGAGGGTCGCCGCTGGAGGCGCCCTCGGCAGCGACCACGACGACTACGACTTCGACGAGGAGATGGACGACTCGTTCGCGACGCGGCCCTGGTGGGCGGCGCAGGGGAGCCTGCTGCTGCTGCCCCTCGGGCGCCTGCAGCTGGCGGAGCTGCGCCGCGCGGCGGCGGCGGCGAGGCCCGCCTTCGCCAGCGCGCGCTGGCGGCGGGCCTCGACGGGTTCGTCGAGATGCTCGACCTCTGCTCGCAGGCCCAGATGCAGGACGCGCTGCGGAGGAAGGGCATCGCTTTGCCCCGCAGGCGCGGGCCTGCCGCCCTGCGCCGCCTCCTCCTGCTGGACGCGGTGCAGAAGGAGCTGCAGCCTCGACTGCGACGCCGGCGGGCTCAGACTCTCTCGACTCTTGAGCCGCGCCGCCTGTCTTGTAGGGAGGGGCTGCGGTGGTCTTCCCCCGTTCGAGGGAGGCACGGCCTGGTGGGTGGCGCGAACTGCGCCGCCCCAGGTGGCTTCGGTGGCCTGCCCCCGTGTTGGGGGCGGCACGGCCTGGCCGATGATGCCCAGCGCCGTCCGAGGTGACGCCACATACCTGGAAGCTGCCGCGGCCCTCGTGCCGGACGCGTGTCGCGTGCAGAGCGCTGCGCCCACTGCGGTGCGGCGCCCGCTCCCGCCGCGCCGCCTTCGGCCGCGGGCACTTCGCGCGCCGTGCGCGCGCAGGGTGCGTCGGTCACCGCCGTCATCCTGGGGCTTTGCCTCCCAACCAACAACAAAACAAAAAACAAAAAAAACAGCTCATGTGGAGTACGCAAGCGCTGCGGTGTACACAACAGCTGTTGCCCGCGAGCACGGTGGCACAAACTGACGCTGTGTTGCACGCGCCTGCCGTGGTGTACCTAGGCGGTGTGGTGGACACAGGCGCTGTGGTGCACGCAAGCACTGTGGTGTACACAGGCGTTGTGGTGCAAATCGCCACCTAGATGCTGGTGCTACCCGTCCTCCGTCATTCCCAGGCATTCCCAGACGCCGCCGGCGCGAAATATGATGTCATCGACCCCCTCCACACCCCCTCAGATGATTGCCGTGATAGGCCCGGAGCAAATAACAGGCTCCAGCCGCGTCCGTGCGCACGACGACGATGAGCGACGAACCACGAGCGATGACGACGACGACGACGACGACGACGACGACGACGACGACGACGACGACGACGGCTAAGGACCAGACTCCTATGCGGATTCTTACGCGGACACCTACGCGGATCCCAGCGCGCACGGCGGCAGTGCCCAGAGCGCACTGGGGGGGGGAGCGTTACAGTAGGGCCCCTGAAGAACGAACCCTTTTCGTTGGGAAGGGGCTCCGCGTTCTTGAAGTGTTTCACAGCTTGCCTCAGGCGTTCCTAATGTTTTCGACAGGAAATCGAAGGTTAACTTATGGAAATAAGGGGCCTCGTTCCTTATTTAGGGTTCCTTAGGTCAACGCGCCGACTGTACGTCATAGGGGGGGGGGGGCCAAAGGCGGGGGGGGCGGGGGCCATGACGCCCGCCATGCCCCAAGCAAGAAAGCAATGGCCTCGAAAATGTACGCTGACGGAGGAACGGCGTGGCGCTCTTGGCCACGGCGAGCCATGGCCACGAACAGATCCCCCAACTGGGAACGAAGAACCGGCCCGAAAACAGGAGCCCTCCTGAGCCCACAGTTCCCCTTCGCTCATCCTCCTTCTCCTCCTCCTCCTCCTCCTCCTCCTCCTCCTCCTCCGCTTCCTCCCCCCACACCTAGCCCTTTCGATCAGGGTCGGCGGCACCGGCCGTCAGGCCTCTCCAATAGATGCCCCAACTTGGAACGAAGAACCGGCCCGAAAACTGGAGCCCTCCTGAGCCCACAGTTCCCCTTCTCTCAGCGTTTCGACTGTACTCTCGCCTCCCAAGTAGTCAGGAGTAAGGCCAGCTCGACTTATGTAAGGGACTCGGGATGCGCGGGTGCACTGTAGCAGCAATAATGTGTACTGGATTTTCCCCCAGCCCACGAGACACCCGAAGAGCCCTCAAACTCTGCGTACGGTCGGACCTAGGACAAAGAACACCCTTCAAGAACATGAGACCCTCAGCCGGCACACATTAAGAGGTGCCCGTGCCTCGGAAGAGCCGAAACGCCAGACGTGTGGGAGGTCCTGCCCCCCCCCCTCCCCCTCCTCCTCCTCCTCCTCCTCCTCCTCCTCCTCCTCCTCCTCGGACCCCACCTGGGAGGCCTAAATATAACCCGGCCTGACCCCAGCAGCCCCCCCCCGCCCGGCGCCCCCGGAACGGCGGGGGCGGGGGCCCTCTGCAGCTCCACGTTCCCGAGCACCATGTGCGCGTTGCCCAGGTTGGTGAGCGTGGCCGCCACCTGCCCCCCCCTCCCTGCAGCGGCGCCCGGGAGGAGACGGAGGAGGAGGAGGAGGAGGAGGAGGAGGAGGAGGAGGAGGAGGAGGAGGAGGAGGAGGAGGACGAGAAGGAGGAGGAGGAGGACGAGGAGGAGGAGGCGAGCGGCCGCGAGGCAGGGGCGACGAACTCCGCGCGCTCGCGCTGCGCGAGGTGCGAAGCGCGGAGAACTTCGCGCTCTCGCGGCGCCCCCCGGGGGCGAAGAGAAGGATGCGGAGGAAGCGGAGCCGAAGCGCGAAGCGCGAGTAACCTCGCGCCTTCGAGGGTGCGAGGCGGGGATTTACCCACATCCACCGCCCGGGAACCTACGTCCCGGTGCCCCAGCGGGCGGTGGATCTGGATATATTTCGGCCCCCGGGGGCCCGAGGATGTCCATATCCACCGCATGCCGAGGCTCCGAAAACCGACCCTCCAGGCGGTGGATCTGGAGAAATCCCCGCCTCGGAGAGGGCGCGCCTGCGAGGGGAGGGAGGGGGACGCGAGGAGGGATGCGCGCCTTCGTGTGTTCCAGGGCATCGGGCGCCTCCAGAAGACATCCTCCAAACTTCGGGAGCGGCCAAGAGGGGGGTGTCCAAGAGGGGGGGGTGCAAATCATGACCGGCGGCATGTGCGCGGCCCAGCGGGGGGGCCAGGGACGTAATGGAATAAGAAGAGGCGCCAGAAAATCTGGGGAAATATCATAGCCCCCGCCATGAGATCCCCCACCCCCCTAGTCATCGCCCCCCTCTGTTCCGCCCCCGACCGCCGGAGAACGCCTCGGGACGAGAAGCCCGCCCCGGGGGAAGTGGCCGAAGGTCGGGGTGCCCGTGCCTCGGAAGAGCCGAAACGCCAGACGTGTGGGAGGTCCTGCCCCCCCCCCTCCCCCTCCTCCTCCTCCTCCTCCTCCTCCTCCTCCTCCTCCTCCTCCTCCTCCAGGTTGAGGCTATCGGGCCCCTATGCATCTCCCCCTTTGCCTATCCCCCCCTATCGTTGCCCCTGAGATGATAGTCATCGGAATGTTCGCCAAAAGCGAGGAGACCACTCCAACCGCCACGAGCCGTCCTAGCGTCTGCCACGCGCAGTCGCTTTTTCCTCGCACTCCGGGCTGCACTCCGCCAGGGAGCCCTCCCCCAAAGCACCCCCAGTGGCCGCGAAGAGGACGGCGGCGATCCTCACGGCCCCCAGGATCTCGCAGCCGAGCAGAAGAGCCGTCATACACTGGAGGCCAGTCAGTCTACAAGAACCCTCCCACAAGGAACCCAACCCTGAGACCCCAGGACGTCGATTGATTTTTGGTGTGGGAACGTCACGCATTCCACAGCAAAGCCATCAAAACCCAAGAAACCCAGGGCACCCTGGAGGCAAGCAGGGTGTCTTGGCATGGGCCTCCACTGTGGTATAGATCACCGGGGGCCTTGGCTACCCTAGGCCCTTCTACCGACCCCAGGCTTCCCAAGGGTAAGCCCTACTGAAGGCCCTAGGCTTCCCAAGGGTAGGCCCTACTGAAGGCCTTAGGCTTCCCAAGGGTAGGCTCTTCTGAAGGCCCTAGGCTTCCCAAGGGTAGGCCCTACTGGACACCCTAGGGTAGCCCTAGGGTAGCCCTAGGGGTAGACCCTAGGGGTAGGCCTAGGGTAGCCCTAGGGGTAGGCCCTAGGGGCAGCCCTAGGGTAGCCCTAGGGGTAGGCCCTTGGGGTAGGCCTAGGGTAGCCCTAGGGGTAGGCCCTAGGGGTAGCCCTAGGGTAGCCCTAGGGGTAGGTCCTAGGGGTAGCCCTTTTATTGCGGATTATAAACTGATTCCTTTGGACGGGCGGGCGGGCAGGACATTAAATACATTGATTGCTTCGGAGGCGAATTACAGATTGATTCCCTTTGGAAGCGGATTGCACATTGATGCCTTTAGTCGGGCGGGCGGGCGGGACATTAAATTAAAATCATTGATTGCTTGTGTGGTGGATTACCCATTGCTTCCCTTTGGTAACGGATTACGAGTCGATTCCCTTTGTGGTGGATTATCAACTGATTATTTTTGTCGGGCGGGCGGGTGGGACAGTAAAGGCATTGATTGCTTGTCTGGCGGATGGCAAACTGATTCTCATTGTGGCAGATTACATGTTGGTTCCTTTTGTCGGGCGGGGGGGGGCATTAAAGGCAATGATTGCTTGTGTAGTGAAATACAAATGGATTCCCTTTGGAAGCGGATTACAAACTTTGGTCGGGCGGGCGGGCGGGACATTAAATGCATTGATTGCTTTGGTGGCGGATTACAAAGTGATTTTATTTGGCAGCGAATCACAAGTTGATTACTATTGTGGCGGATTACAAGCTGATTCCTTTTGTTGGGCGGGCGGGCGGGACTTTGAAGGTATTGCTTGCTTGTGTGGCGGATTACGCATTGATGCACTTTGTGGCGGAGACCCCCCCTCGCAGACCCCCCCCCCTCGCAGATCCCCCCCTCACAGACCCCCCCCCCTCACAGACCTCCCCCCCTCACAGACCCCCCGCCTCACAGACCCCATCCTCGCAGACCCCTCCCCCTCGCAGACCCCCCTCCCTCGCAGACCCCCCCTCTGGGACCACCCATCACAGACCCTCCCCCCCTTGGGGGTTCCCTAGGCCGCCGGTGATTCCATTTGGCAGCGAATTACAAGTTGATTACTACTGTGGCGGATTACAAGCTGATTCCTTTAGATGGGCGGGCGGGCGGGACATTAAAGGTATTGCTTGCTTGTGTAGCGGATTACGCATTGATGCACTTTGTGGCGGAGACCCTCCCCTCCGCAGACCCCCCCTCGCAGACCCCCCCTTCACAGACCCCCCCCCTCAGAGACCTCCCTCCCTCACAGACCCTCCCCCCTTGGGGGTTCCCTAGGCCGACGACGGCAGACGGCGACGGCGACGCCGGACATCGACGGCCAGCGGCGACGACGATCACCACGGAATCGACGACGACGACGACGACCACGACCGCCCGTCCGACCGACCCGCCGGCCGAGCGGCTGTCTGACCGATCGACCGACCGACAACCACGACGACGACGACGACGACGACGACGAAGACGACCACGACGACGACGACGACGACGACGACGACGGCGGCGGCGGCGGCGGCGGCGGCGGCGGCGGCGGCGGCTGCGACGTCGACGACGGCAACGGCGACGACGACGACGAAAACGACGCAAAACCGAGCCGATCGACTGTCGACGGGGGCGCCGTCTGGCGCCAAGGCGGCGCAGGCGGGGCTGCCACCTCCTCCTCCTCCTCCTCCTCCTCCTCCTCCTCCTCCTCCTCGTCCTCATCCTCCTCGTCCTCCCCTTCCTCCTCCTCTCTCCGTCCCTCCTCCTCATCATCCTCCTCCTCCTCCTCCTCCTCCGCCCTCTCCCTCTCCCTATCCCTCTCCCTCCTCCTCCTCCTCCTCCTCCTCCTGGTCCTCGTCCTCGTCCTCGTCTCGCCTCCCCCTCATCCTCGTGCTTCTCCTCCGGCAAAGGCGGCCCTAGAGGTAGACCCCAGGGCTAGGCCTAGGGTAGCCCTAGGGGTAGGCCCTAGGGGTAAGCCTAGGGTAGCCGCAGGGGTAGGCCCTAGGGGGGTAGCCCTAGGGGTAGGCCCTAGGGGTAGGCCTAGGGTAGCCCTAGGGGTAGGCCCTAGGGGTAGGCCTAGGGTAGCCCTAGGGGTAGGCCCTTGGGGTAGGCCTAGGGTAGCCGTAGGGGTAGGCTTTAGGGGTAGCCCTAGGGGTAGCCCTAGGGGTAGGCCCTAGGGGTAGCCCTAGGGTAGCCCTAGGGGTAGGCCCTAGGGGTAGGCCTAGGGTAGCCCTAGGGGTAGGCCCTTGGGGTAGGCCTAGGGTAGCCCTAGGGGTAGGCCCTAGGGGTAGCCCTAGGGTAGCCCTAGGGGTAGGCCCTAGGGGTAGGCCTAGGGTAGCCCTAGGAGTAGGCCCTAGGGGTAGCCCTAGGGTAGCCCTTCATTGGATGATATATAAGTCCACTGTAGACCTTGCCATTGAAATGCTCCGCACAAACACCGAAATTACAGGGCAACGAATCAAGAAGGTGAACACTGCCATGCGAGCCGTGTGGCGCCATCCGCGTCGCCGCTGCAGCGCGCTCTCCTGGCTCGCCCGCACCCTGGTGACCATCTCGGCCAACGTGTCATAGCGCCGGCACCTCCAGCTCCCTCTCGACCTCTGGGCTCAACAGGAAGTCCAGATCTTCGATTCTGCTTCGCTTTGCAGGCGGCGAGCATTTTGCCGACGTCGGCAAGTTTGACGTGCCCGCTGAGAAAGCCCGACGTGAAGGACACAAACATCTCCATGGTTTCCTGGACCCCCTCGGCCCTCGGCGCTCTGGGTGAGGCCCGTGCAGACTTCCACTGGGAAGATACTTTGCAGCGTAGCTCCGCAAAATCCCCTGGATCCCACACTGACTGCATCAACTACCGCTCATGTCTGTATCACGGCATCCGTGCCCCTGCCATTTGAATGCGTGCGTCTCGTGCCCGTAGTTCGTACTCGCATGATGTATTGTTGGCGTCATGTCTGCGTGACGTTTGCTGAGTCGGTGCCGATCGACGTCTCCGACGACATGGCCGAGACGGCGCAGTCACAGACGATTGGTGGCATTGGTTCGTCATCGATGACTTGCCCCGCCACGCGCTCGGGGACAAAAAAACTTGCGTTCCCCAACAACCCGCCCTTGCATCCCTGACGTCACACACATGCGCCGTCAGCAACACGGCGAGGTACATGAACATCACCGCATGCAACACCACCGGACCCACAGAGTCCGACTAGTCCCCTGTCCATAGCTCCTCGTAGGACTCCGCCGACAGCAAAGTGACCTGGCTGCACTCGAGCTCGCTGATCAAGCCTTTCGATCTGGCCCCGAAAAGGGTGAAGTGCGCGACCACGCACCGGAGCGTGCCATCCGTGCCGAGCGGTGTGGTGGCCACTCCTTCAGAAGTCCACTCCATAGCGTCTTAGTCGAAGTAGCCGCATACGAGGCGGCTGCTCACGTTCGGCAGGTCGATGAGGATCGGATTGACGAGGCCTGTCACTGACAGGGTCGAACCATGGACTTTTGACTGCAGGGCGATGCTGATCACGCCCTCCACTTCTGAGCCGAAAGCGCCCGCGGGGACGGCGGAGGGAGGTACCTCTGCAACAGCAGCCAGCGCGCTCTTCCACCCCGAAGGCATCGAATGACGAAGTGGGAAGCCTGATGTCCACGCCGGTGGCATTGCTTACATATGGCAGAAAACATGGAATCCTCGGCAACACTATCCTGATCTGCCGTGACAGCCGTGACCTCAATGCCGTCGATCGTCACCGTTAAAGCGGACTGATCTGAAGAAACAAACTGCATGGCTGCCATGTCCTCCGCTGTCGCGGTATCCGCCAACGTCAGAACCTCCGTGGATTCGCCTGTGGTCGTTGCGCTCTCCATCGACGTGCCCATGGGAGGAGTGGTCGTGAAGGGATCCGCCGAGATGGTCAGCGAGGTGCTGAGTCGATGATGTGATGTTCGTGCTGCGCAGGGAGGTCGTAGAGGAAGTCTCGGTGATGGTTCCGAGCACGATGCCTAGAACCATGCACTCCCCTTGCCCTGACACTTCTCAGTAGTAGCACAGAATGACGGAGTCCCCCGCCTGACCACTCGAGCCCAAGGCGATTGACGCGGCAGGGCCTTCATTGATTGGCGGAATCAACCATGGACACAGAATTACTGCCATCCCAAGTGGTCCGTAAAATGTTGCACGTGACCACAGTTTCGATTGCAATCCACGAGGTCGGATTCGCGTTCGCGCCCACTGTATTCACTTGAACAAAATCAGTGACCAACGGATCCACGATGTCGCCTCCCCATATCTGAGCATCGTGCGTTGAAGACCGCCTGTACTAACGCCGTCTGCGTAGCAGACCACGCCTTCGTCAAGGGCAATGCCAACCACAACCCGCCCATCCTAATTGGCTGCTGCTGGCGACGACGCCGTGCTTGCGTAGACCCCCACGCTGGGACGGATGCCGATGTCGGTGAATGATAGGGTACTGGCGTCGAGGTGCAGCAGAGCACAGGTGCCGTCCCAATCCGCCCTCCAGTAGAGCAGAAAAACGTTGAGGCTTGAAAGAAAAGCGTGAAGAGATATATCGCTTCCGCTACAATTGTGGTCATAATCGAAGACCCATTCGTCCATGAATGTGGTCGCATTTCGGGGATCTTCTGACCCGGGTCAATCCAGACCTCGGTCAGCAAGAAACCAAAAACTGCAATGCAAGAAAGAAAACTGCAACGCAGGTCTTCGCAAACCCGGGTCAGCCAATATGATGAGCGGCCGCCTCGCAGCCAAGAGCGGCTCGCTAACCCGGGTCAGCCAGAGGGGGTCTTCGCAGGATCATGCAGGATCCGGTGCCCGGGCTGACCCCCGTTTGCATTGACCCCCGTCTCTTAAGCCCCGAGCATTGGCGATCCCTTCCCCGGGCTCGACTCGCAAAGCCGCGCATATGCCCCTGCCAACTACTTCCCACGGCAGATCAAAGCGACGTCAGAATCGGTGATGGTGGGAACTGCGAATGATGTCTCGTCTGCCACCTTGTAGTCTGAGGAATTAAGCACATACGTGTCTGACGTCGTGAGGAGAGTGCCAGAGAGGGGCAAAGACGTGCACATATGGTGTGTGACGAACTCACTATATCCACGCAGCAGACAAGCGCTCTATCCAACCACGGACTCGCCGTAGCCAACAACGGACTGGTCACTACGGAGATGTGCAAGGTTTCGCCAATGATGAAAATGATCGCGCCACCCCAACGGACATCAATGGCCTCGTCGAAGAGCTCAAGGACCACGCAACGGCCTGCGCCTCTATTGACATAGTCTGTGTAGCACGGAATATTCCGGTGTTTACCCATTGTCGCGAGTGAATTGAAACTGTTGCCTCCCGAACTTACTGCCACAGGAGATCCCCCACCACCTCGTACTCTGCAAAGGCGCCAACTATGCACATAACCATAATCGACACGCGGCACAATCCAATCGATACAATAATGAGCAGCGGCAAAACGGTCTCGGTAATAACGCGAGCGAACCTGCCAGTTGGAATGACAACTGCAGTATCGCTGTCTCGATCCCCAAACGGCTCTTGCGCCAACAAGCTACGGAGGGGGGCCTCCCTGATGTTTGGGCGTCTCTTGGAGCAACCGCAAGATTGTCGTGGCAGGTTATTGGCTATTGACCTCTCTGGGGGGCGTCTTAAGGCTCCGATTCGAGATCATGAGCGCTTCCGAACACCTCTTGGCCCCTCCGGGGATCATCTCAGGGTCGCCCCGGGAAGACGTAAACCTGTCTGGGAGGCCTCTTCGGACTCCGATTCGAGATTATGGGGGTCTTCGGGGCCCACTGGAGGTTCGCCGACGGCGTAACCAGGAGAAAATCCGACCAATCTCGGGAGCGGGCTGCAATCATCTCGGAGGATTGACCTAGCCCTCTCAGGCCACCTTGAAGCCATGGATGGGGTCACCTTCGGCACGTGCGGTCGTCCAGGAATCCTCTAGGCGCGCCACGATGCCAAAACACGATCCTCGAGCTTCCTAACCTGCCGCATTGGCTCTCTGGCTCCTGCGGTATAGCTTTCAAACAGAGAAGATCATCCATGTCATGTGCTTTCCTCTCTGAAGGGGCCCCAGGACAAACAAATACATACACACAAATCAGCAGATTCCCCATAGCTTCTCATATTTTCTGGGTTTTTGTATTCCCCCCCCTTCCCATATTTTCCCATATTTTCCTGGGAGTCGACGATTAATTGCGTCTGTGTGTTTATTCCCCTCCTGACTCTTGACGGAATGATCGTCTTGGCGACTTGAAGGGTCTGGGAAGGGGGCTTCCTCGGGCGCTTTCGGAGACTCGTGGGCCGCCTCGGCCCGCTCCCGGGAGGGCGTCCTGGAGGCTCGCGTGCTCCATGTGTGGCGTCTTTAGGGTTCGGTCGGGCCCGTCCCCCTGCAGTCGGATGTTGGGCGACAAACTGAAAAGATCGTAAAAACATACCCAAACAAAAACATAACATATTTAACAGATCGTCTCCAGACTATGTTTTCTGGCTATGTTTGAATACTCCCCCCGTAGAGGGACAGGCCCGACTTGAAGGAAGCCTCTGGGAGACTGCTGGAGGGGGCCTCCTGGGGGCCTCCTGATGCCTCCTGGGTAGAGGAAAGAGAACTATGCACATACACCGATTCTGGCCAGGCCCATCCTGAGCCCAGAATCGGTGCATACGCCCTCCTACCTTGGCCAGGAAGGCATATGCACCGATCCTGGGTCAAGGATGGGCCTCGCAAGGATCGGTGCATGTGCATAGCTCTCTTCGCCCGACTGGGGGCGCCCAGCGGCGCCGTCGGGGCCCCTTCGCGGGCCTCTTGGGCTGCCTCGGGGCGCTGCTGGGCTGTCTGGCGACACCGAGGGCCGTCCGGGCAGCCTCTCGGGGCCGTCCTCGGGCCTTCTCGTAGAACTCTGCGAGCCGTCTCGGGGGAGTCTCTTCGGCTGTTGGGGGGCCCTCGTGGGCACAGGACCACCTCAGTGGCCTCTCAGGCCATCTCACGGCGCCCTTGGGCCGTCCGGTGCCTCCAGAGGGACCCTCTTGGGGTTCTGCGTGGCCGTTTTGGGGGGCCTCTTCGGCTGGCTTGGGGCCCTCTCGGGATGCTTCGGGCCGTTTTTTCTTCAGACGGATGATCGATCATCTGCAATGACCTGTGCCTTATAACATTTGAGCGTCTGGAAGATGCACTGCGCATAAACGAATGCTACAGCGAAATAACGCTCAACTTACTGTGATGATCCGACGATCGCGGGGGTGCAATCGACCCACCAAAGCCGCTTCGGAGACGCCACATCTTGCTCCCTGCGAGGCGAAGATGACCCGATCATCAGTCTCATGTACCGTCCCTCAACAAGATCTGGCGATGGCGATCAACGAGTCTGCCGAAGCGGCCGTGGGTGCCACAGCCCTGCGCGAAGCTCGGACACGAGCGGCACTGGTGATCAACGCCTCTCAGGCGGAGCAGGCGGCATCGAGCCACGCGAATCACCAGCTTCGCTCCAAAGCCCGCCCGCGGACGCGAGGAGGCCGTGAGCGTGCACGCCTGCGGCGCCAGCCCAGAACTGTCCGCCGCGGTTCCAGCAGGCACTGACTCCAGTGGAGTGTCCTCCGTGCGCCAAACACTGAGAATCTGCCGCTGCGTCCTGGCGGAGCAGACAAAGGAGGGCAACTCGCTTAGAAATAGTTACTCAATGGCTTGATGCATCATGCCTCATGCCCTCGGCTTGTGGTATGTGCCGTCGGGCTTTGCTTTAGCCCGAGGACTCGACTCAGCCAGATACCTGAATCCAACGAAGCAAGGAGCGTCACGCCAATGCATGCCGCGAGAGCGAGCCCATCACCACCTGCCGCCCACCCTGCAAGATCAGATTCAAGCATAGCACGTGTGGGAGCACACCTCAAGTCGGCACCTCGTGCCTGCTAAGCGTCGTCTCCGCTCGCTTCCTCCTCTTCCTCCTCCCCCTTCCCCTCCAGCAATCCTCCTCAGACCGCCACACTGGGGATCGGATTCGGTATGCGCCTCGTGGACTTAAAAAACTACTGGGTATTGGATCTCATGCGCTCCGTGAGAGTAAATCCCAAACGACTCCTTCTTTGGGGATGCGACGGCAGCCCAAACTGGAGTCATCTGTGCCGTGTTGGTGCATGATAAGCCTGGACACTTCCTTCGATCGAGGATGGCGCCTGAGGTCGCGAGCATCGAGCTCAGCTGTCTCCAGCGCCCCGATCTCGGTTGTCGTGCTCAAAACGATGGCAGAAGGTACGCCTGTCCACGAAGAGACGGAGAAGTATAGATGCCCCAACAGTTATGCTGCTCCCGCTCCTCATAGCCCCACGGATTTCTATGATGTGCGGCCACGGTCGCCCCCCCGATACTATGACAATGGACACCCTAACAATCCTACCATTGAATTAATAATTATCCCGGCAAAGCAACCTAACAGCTATGTGTAGGAGCATATCTGGGAGCATTCCCCTTAAGATTCAGATAATAATACAGTTGTAGAATTGTGCTGTTCTCGCAGTCGCAGTCGCATTCGCGATGACAGTCGCAGTGGCAACGGCAGTCGCAGTCACAGCCTCAGCCTCAGCCTGCCTCAGCATCAGCCTGCATCAGCCTCGGCCTCAGCCTGCCCTCAGCATCAGCCTCAGCCTCATCAGCCTCAGCCTCAGCCTCAGCCTGCCTCAGCCTCAGCCTGCCTCAGCCTCAGCCTCAGCCTGCTTCAGCCTCAGCCTCAGTCTGCCTTCAGCCTCGGCCTCAGCCTCAGCCTGCCTCAGCCTCAGCCTGCATCAGCCTCAGCCTCAGCCTCAGCCTGCCTCAGCATCAGCCTGCCTCAGCCTCAGCCTCAGCCTGCCTCAGCCTCAGCCTCAGCCTGCCTCAGCCTCAGCCTCAGTCTGCCTTCAGCCTCGGCCTCAGCCTCAGCCTGCCTCAGCCTCAGCCTGCATCAGCCTCAGCCTCAGCCTCAGCCTGCCTCAGCATCAGCCTGCCTCAGCCTCAGCCTCAGCCTGCCTCAGCCTCAGCCTCAGCCTGCTTCAGCCTCAGCCTCAGTCTGCCTTCAGCCTCGGCCTCAGCCTCAGCCTGCCTCAGCCTCAGCCTGCATCAGCCTCAGCCTCAGCCTCAGCCTTCCTCAGCATCAGCCCTCAGCCTCAGCCTCAGCCTGCCTCAGCCTCAGCCTCAGCCTCAGCCTCAGCCTCAGCCTCAGCCTCAGCCTCAGCCTCAGCCTCTCAGCCTCAGCCTCAGCCTGCCTCAGCCTTGCCTCAGCCTCAGCCTGCCTCAGCCTCAGCTCAGCCTGCCTCAGCCATCAGCCTCAGCCTCAGCCTGCCTCAGCCTCAGCCTGCCTCAGCCTCAGCCTCAGCCTGCTTCAGCCTCAGCCTCAGTCTGCCTTCAGCCTCGGCCTCAGCCTCAGCCTGCCTCAGCCTCAGCCTGCATCAGCCTCAGCCTCAGCCTCAGCCTGCCTCAGCATCAGCCTGCCTCAGCCTCAGCCTCAGCCTGCCTCAGCCTCAGCCTCAGCCTGCTTCAGCCTCAGCCTCAGTCTGCCTTCAGCCTCGGCCTCAGCCTCAGCCTGCCTCAGCCTCAGCCTGCATCAGCCTCAGCCTCAGCCTGCCTCAGCATTCTAAATGTGGCTCGGGAATGGAATTTTGGGAACTCGAAGAACACGAAGTGGCCTACAGTTGGCTCCGGGCATTCAAAATCATGCCCAGGAATGGAGTTCTGGGAATTCGAAGAGCACGAAGTGGCCTACAGTTGGCTCCGGGCATTCAAAATCATGCCCAGGAATGGAGTTCTGGGACCTCGAAGAGCACGAAGTGGCCTACAGTTGGCTCCAGGCATTCAAAATCATGCCCAGGAATGGAGTTCTGGGACCTCGAAGACCACGAAGTGTGTAACTGTTTGGATAAAACGACTTCCGCGGATCCTGCCCGGACCCCCCTGGGGAGTCATGATGCTCTCTTTTGAGACCACTGGAAACCTATCAGTCTTCGCTGTTAGGTAAACATGTGTTTAAGAGATCGGACGAATGTTCTAAAACTCTTTCTCTGAAACCTATGTTTGACATGTGTAAAACATGTTTAAAAGACATGTTATTCACATCTGCAAATTATGTTGCAGCATGCTTCCTGTCCATTGATCGTCCTCCCCAGCCACCACTCTTCAGGCGCCCCAGCTGCGCATCCGCAGCACGGGCCGGGCATTCTAACAGGTGATACGTTGGCTGGCGTGCCAACTTAGCCGTGGCTGGAGCCAGGAAGCAATCAGCGTGCCGCGCCCACGACCTTGGCGCGAACGCTGGCGGGGCGGCCTCGGCGGTCGGCGCACCCGCAGCGGAGCCACGAAGCATGCCAGCCCACGAGAAGGGCGCTCGCCTAAGCTCGAGGAATACTTGGCACGATCGTTCCTCCTCGTACTATGCCTCTTCCTGCCCTCCTTTGACCGCCACACTGGAGACCGGAGTTGCTCGGAGCGTGCGTCTCGCGGCATCCCAAACGACGGGCCAGCACGCCTCCTCCTACGGGCTCTGCTGACAGGAACTACCGTTAGGTCGGACCAGTCCCCCTACAGGGTGGTTCGGGACGATTTTTTATGTGTATATATATGATGATAATAATAACAACAATCATAATACATACTCAACAGATGTTCAAAAATAGTGAAAATCGTCCCCAGACTATTATTTGACTATTTTTGAATATTCCGCCTGTAGAGGGACAGAGCCAACTTAAAACTATCGCGTGCCGAATTCTCTGGCAACAGGTATGCAGCGCTCCAAATGATGTGCGGAGCTTGGTGTTGGACCCCATCCGCTCAATGGCATGAAGTCCTCGATATGACTTCCTTCTCCTGGCGGCGAGAGCAACCCGACGGTATCGCTGCCATGGGCGAGCACGCATCCCTTCTATGGGTGCTGCTGACAACCCTGCCGTTGTCTCGAATGACCCTCCTCCGATCTTCCTCCATCCCCAGGAGAGCACAGAATCGAATCGATTAGTCGGATCGGCGATCAAAACGAATCGGATCGGCCGAAATCTGCAGCCGAGTCGGGAAAAGCCGAATCGGCGGAAATCGGCGGGCTAGTAACCCTAAAGGGGCGATAATAAACCCCCGCGGGTAATAAAGTTCGCGGTTCCCGCGGAGATAATAAAGGAGTTTCCCGGGGAAGGTAAGCTATGATGATGATGATGATGATGATGATGATGATGATGATGATGATGATGATGATGAGGAGGATGAGGATGAGGATGAGGATGATGGAGAAGGAGGAGCTTAAATCAGGCGCACGACAGAAGCCTGACTCGATTGGTAGGGTAGAGGATTGGCCATTTTGGTAGGGATCAGCACTCGGCGACTGCTGATCCCTACCCAAACGTCGTTCTGACGTTTACTCCATGTTTGTAGTGCATCCCATGGCCCTGCCGCACGGTCGTGATTGCGGAAGCTGGTGTGGTGAGACCACCAAGGCCATGATCAGCGTTTTTGATGCTGTTGCTAATCAACATGATATGATAGTAACTTCGATCCCCGCAACGTTTCCGTGGATTACCAAGTTCGGCCTCCGCGCCTTCCCCACAGATAAGTCCCGGTGGGCGGGGATAAAAAAAAGGGGTTAAGGGGGGGGGGGGGCACCTTTATTATCGCCCGTTCCGGGTTATGCCTCCAATAAGAAAACGGAGCCCAGATCGGAATCCCAAGCCGAATCGAATCGCAAGAATCGGAAGCGATCGAAATCGAATCGAATCGAACTGGAGGCAACGAAGTGAGCCCTGCCTTCCCCCCACCTCCTCCTGCCCTCATCCGACCGCCACCGTGGGGATCGGGTACGCTCCGTGTGCGCCTCGCGGCCTCGAGGACGGCAGGCTGTAGCTGACATAACGGGGCGGCACGCCCGGATGTGCGGAGCCGGGTGCCGGATCCCATGCGCTCAATGAGATCATCCTCTACGGCAGGTTCGCGTCGTGACGACACCGGCGTTGGTTTCTGACACCGCGTGGATCGTTCAACCTTGAACGATCGACCGTTCCCGCAACGTCTAATCGTTCAACATCGACCGATTCTGGGTCGCCGCCGGCGTTCAACGTTGAACGCTGCCGGCGGGGTCGCCGCCAGTCGACACGACACGAACCTACCATACGCGCCGGGTGTCGAAACCCATGCGTTGTGGACGACGATCAATTGAAAGGACCCATGTTGCCAAATAATTTCCGTATGCATTTAACATGTGCTTGAAAGTATCTTGACCATTAAAACCAATAGGTTGAACATGTGTGAAACATATGTCAAACATGTGTTTAACACATTTGTGATGCTAATGATGATGAGTATGATGAATACGATGATGATGATGATGCTGATGATGACGATGAACATGATGATGATGGTGATGATGACGGCGATGATGATGATGATGATGATGATGATGACGATGATGATGACGACGACGACGACGACGACGACGACGACGACGATGATGATGATGATGATGATGATGATGATGATGATGATGATGAGAATGATGATGCATATGGATATGATAGGACTGTTAGCGTGTCCATTGTCATGGCATCCACAACTCATGCGCTCAATGGGATCATCCTCTGCGCAACTTCCCTCTCTCGGGCGTCGGGGGCAGCCCGAAATCTGGAGCCGCGTGTGCTCCGTGCCGGGCCGCTTCCCTCACGGCCCTCGCCAGGGGTGACGGCCCCGGACCGAGAAAAGTCTGCACGGTTGGTCGACAACGGTGCCTTCACCTCCACCTATCGTCGGGGCGTTGACCTAAGGAACCCTAGATAAGGAACGAGGCCAATGTTTCCCCACAAGTTAAACTTCGAATTCAATGAAAAACCTAAGGAAAACCCAAGACACACTGGAAAATAATCAAGGAGCAACGAGCCCCTCCCCAACGAAAAAGGCTCCTTCTTCAGCGCCCCGACTGTAGAGCTCAAAACAATTCGTGGCAACCATTCCTACGGACACCAGAACAAGAGTCTGTGACTGGAAGCTGCGCTGAAATCGGAAATGTTGTTAACAAGCGAGCTGCCCCCGTGCGTGGCGGAAGACAACATGCACCTACCGCGGAGATTTTGGAAGTGGGAGCAGTGAGTCAGCGAACCCGCAGACTAGGGCATTGCGAAGTTGGAAGCGATGGACGGGTGCCTGCTCGTCTAAGTGAAATTACAAAGCGCTGCTCTGTGACGCTCGCGACACCAAAGCGCACTCCGTGTCATTGAACTTGGCGGCGCGCACAAGGGGGTAAGGGTAGGGGGGAAGGCTTCTCAGAAGGCGCCGGCCCTACATCTGCAGACAAGGCCAGCGCCTTCCGAGAAGCAGGGGTGCTTCTACGAAGCCTTCCCCCTCCCCCTATTCTTAGGTCGGGCATGTCCTCCTACAGGACGATGTTGGAAGAAAAATCTAAAGTAGCGAAACAGCACTCAGAAATAATCAGAAGTTGTCGAAAAATCGTCTCCTGACGGTTGAACTACTCTTGAACTTTCCTCCCGTAGACGGACAGGCCCGACTTACCCCTATCCCCCTCTACGCGTAGCCGATGGACGTGTGCGCACGAGTGCGGCGCGCACCGCCGTTCGGGGCGACCGCTGCGGGCGGCCTGCGCAAAACCCCCGCGAGGGTGCGCGACGGGGGCAGGGAGCCGCGCGCCCTCTCGTCAGTCCTCGTAGCAGTCTGGAGCCGCCTCCAGGAGCACCGCCTCCAGCTGCTGGGGGCTCAGGTGGCTGATTGCTACAAGAAGAAAAAACTGCATTAACATTACCTTTTGGCGCTCCGCGCGGATTTCTTGGATCGGCGCTGGACCCCCCTCCCTGGCGCGCGGAACGCGCCTGGGGCGACGCCGGAGGCGTCGCTGGGGGGGACCAGCGCGGATTCAAGAAATCCGCGCGGAGCGCCAACATAGTATGTTTATGCCGTTTTTCTTCTTCGATGATTGCGGCACTCACACCTGGGAGGAACGTCACTGGCCCGCCGGTGGCGCACACCTTCTCGTACTGCTGCGTCGGCCGCGGCGCTGCACAGACAACGGGTGTGGTCGGCCACCCGTTGTCCAGATCCGCGCGGGTGCTATGCTGCTGCCTCGGCTTTGCGGCGAATTGCTTCATGGCGAGGAACTTTTCCGGCCCGTGGTAGTAGTGGCAACAGTCGCACATCGCACCGCGCGGGCATGGAGCGCCGCTCCCGTTACTGCGGCACGGCGTGCACTGGCCCTTGTGGTGGTTCTTCGAGCCACGAGAGAAGGCGTCCACCAGGCCCATGGGCGTGTCCACGGAATCACCCGAGGAGTCCTGGGGAAACCCAAAATGACCGATACCGCTACACCCCGAGCCTCTCCCGGGGCGCGTTCTGACCAGGATTTCGAGGCGAATCCGGCGGTGGTGTCGAGGGCCTCCCAGGAGAACCAACAAGGAGAAAACGGGCGAGGGGGTAGAGGTGTGGGTACCTATTCTGTCTTTGGAGTCCGACGCGTCGGTCGCGGCGCAGGCTGAGCGCTCGTCCGCGCGCCTGGCCCGCGGGCGCAAGCGCCTGGTCGGGGGCGACCAAGAGGGGGGCGTCAAAGAGGGGGGGGCGCAAAGCATGGCCGGCGGCATGTGCGCGGCCTAGGAGGGGGGCCGGGGACGGACTGAAACAAGAAGAGGCGCCATGAAATCTGGGGAAAGATCATGGCCCACGCCATGATATCCACCCCCCCTTGTCATCACCTCCCTCTTCCGGGCGTTGGCAGAACTGGGTTTAGTGGAACCTGGATTAGTGATGTGTACTGGGGGCGCCCCCCCGCCCCATTTCCACTAACCGGAACTGCCGTCACCCGAAAAGCACCGGTTACGGCAAACCTGGTTTAGTGAATCTGGCCAATTGAGGGGCCCCAGGGCCCCACCACTAACCGGGTCCCCTTACCCGGGGTCCTGGCTACACCCGACTCTTGGCGCTGCTTCTTAGAAGGCGCTGGCCTTACATCTATAGATAAGGGCCGCGCCTTCTAAGAAGCAGGGGTGCTTCTAAGAAGCCCTCCCCCCTCCCCCCACCCCCCTCTGCGCGTGGCTGGGTCATCACCTCCCTCTTGGCCGCCCCCGACCTGGCCACCCTCGGCGCCACCGCTGGCATCGGGTGCATGGCCTGTGCACCGTGGCTCGGCATCGCGGGCGCGGAGCGGCCGAGGTGCGCGAGCAAAAAAAAGATAGACGGAGTCGGGAGAGGCTTTGGTTAGGTCGGGCATGTCCTCCTACAGGCGCATTCTGGACGAAAAATTAACCACCTACCAGACCACCCCAACCCAACCCGAAGACCCGAATTTGAATCGAATTTCGGGTTGGGGGGGGTACAGGTTCCATGTGTTTTTTCAATGTTCCCCGACCCCCCCCCCCTGGAAATCGAGGATACATTTGGGCCTTCGGGTTGGGTTGGGGTGGTTTGGCGGGTGGTGAAAATAAAGAATACCCCAAAAAATCCTCAATAGTAGTCAAAACATAGTCCCCGATATGTTTGAGTACTCCTCCTGTAGAGGGACATGCCCAACTTAGGCTTGGGCTTACCTGAGCCAGAGAGTCTTCTCTTGAGCCGAAATGGCTACGAACGGGTGCTTCGGGCCGTCTCTTTGGGTGGCCCAAAGGGGGTCCAGCTGCAAGGGGGTGGTGCAATAGATTCGGGACAATTGTATTGCATTGTATTGCAAGTAATGTGTTGCAAGCGAAAATGCAGCAGTACATTTGCGCCCCGGAATGTATTGCACGCCCCAGATGTATTGTAACCCCACACTTCTATTATACCAAATCTATTGCACCACCCCCTTGTCGCTTGACCCCCTTTTGGGCCAACCGGAGTCTCGGGGGGCCCTTGGGCCGTCTCGGGGTTCCCTTGGGCTGTCTTGCGGGCATCTTCAAGGCTTGTTGGGCCCTTGGGTTATGTCTTGTGGGCCTTAAGGACCACATCCCACAAATGATTTCGAGCACCCAGAAAAGTATCGAAACAGCGTCGAATGAGTACCGCCTCCCAGGGCCTGACACGTGAAAACCCTCCGATGTCGGTACTTCCTTGATGCTCGAAATTCTTTCTGGTGGTCGAGGCTAAAACAGTCTGGAGCATCATGACCCTTGGGCCGTCTTGGGGCCACCTTGGAAGTCTCCAGGGCCGTCCGGGGCCGTCAGAAGCTCGATGAGGCGAGAACGCAGAAATTGAAGGGGCCCTGGGACACACAAATAAATACACACAAATAACAGGATCCTCCATATTTTCCCATGTTTTCTGGGTTTCTGTCTTCCCCCCCACCTCCCATATTTTCCCATATTTTCTGGAAGTCGACTGTGTGTTGCTCTCCCTCCTGAGAAATGCTCCACCATGTGCGGCGTGCGGATTTCATCCACGTTCACCGCCTGCGCTCCAACGTCCCGGGGACCCATAGCGGGCGGTGGAGGCCCGAGCATATATCCAATAACCATCGCCCGTGGAGGCCCGCGAGAATCGTACCAATCCCCGCCTCGGCTTCCCTCCCTCCCTCCTCCTCCTCCTCCTCCTCCTCCTCCTCCTCCTCCTCCTGGGTTCCTCGACATCGCTCGGACGTCCACTCCACATGCATGTTTCTGCGGTGTGCGTCTAGTTTCTCGCAATCTTCGACGACGAGCGAGGGGGGGAAGCGAGAAGGAGAAGGCCTTCTCAGGAGGCCTTCTCAGAAGGCGGCGGAACTTCTCAGAAGCCCGCCGACACTCCGAGAAATCGTGCGTGCCTTCGGGGACGGCCGAGAAAACTCTCAGAAGGCCGGAGCACTTCCGAACCTTCTGAGAAGGCCCGCCCCTTCTCACTTCACCCCTGGGCCCGCCGCCGACCATGGTTGCTCGAGCAGCGCACGGAGCAACAAACACCGCTGCGCAAGAGCGTATGCTCTCAGTGCTCCGCGCGGAAGTCTCGGGTCGGCGCTGGCAGCGCCCGGGCAGGGGGTCCCGCGCAGATGCATGCAGTCCTCGCTGGCCGCCGAAAGATGGCCCAAAAGTCGTGGGCGCGCTAGCAGGGATTCGCGATCCATGGATTTGGCGCGCGGTCGCCAAATCCATGGATCGGGGGAGGTGCCCTCCCTACAATGCGGCCGGTGCCGCCTCCTTCGACGGCAGAGATGCGCGATCTGCTATGGAAAACGGGACCCGTCGCTAATCCACGCCCCCTTGATCCATGTCTGCAATCGACTGGCAAAGGCTACCCGATGGCCCTCGCCGAGAAACAAATGCACGCGCCCGAGCGGTGCCGAGACTCAGAAGCAAAGCGAAAACCAATGGCTTGTAAACAAAGGGGGCCCGAGGACACACAAACAAAAACGCACACGAGTCCCATGACCCACCACGTTCTCCCACGTCTCATGGGCCTTCGCCTCCCCCCCCACTTCCCACGCTTGTCCCACTCGGGGATGGACCCCCCTTTAGTAAAACGTGGTTTAGTGAAAACGACCTGAGGCCCAAACCTGGCGGGCGCAAGCCTGGAAAATAACGGCCACGGCGCCCTCTCGAGAGCCGAAAACGGACAATTTATTCATCGACGTGTCACTGTTGGGGGCTCTCTGTACACCCCCGACCCACACCTTCCTGGGAATCACCGATGTGAGTGAATGGGCCCTGGGACACACAAATAAATACACACAAATAACAGGTTTCCCCATATTTTCCTATATTGTCTGGGTATTTGTCTTCCCCCCACGTCCCATACTTTCCCATATTTTCTGGGGAATCGAGGATGAATCGTGTCTGTGTGTTGCTTTCCCTCCTGAGTGAATCGTGTCGGTGTGTCTTTTCCCCTCCGACAGTTCACTAATCAACGTGTCACTGTTGGGGGCTCTGTCCACCCCCGACCCACACCCTCCTGGGAATCACCGATGCGAGTCGTGTCGGTGTGTTTTCTGGGTATGTGTCTTCCCCCCACTTCCCATATTTCCCCACATTCTCTGGGGAATCGAGGATGAATCGTGTCTGTGTGTTGCTTTCCCTCCTGAGTGAGTCGTGTCGGCGTGTCTTTCCCCCCCCCGGGGAGCTCGGCCCTCCCGCGCCGCACTCCCCGCGGGGGCGCCCCGCGGAGGCCGCCTCCTGGGCTGGCCCGCGAGGCCGCCCGCGGGCCCCCCCGAGGCGGCCCTGCAGGGGGGGGGGCGGCCCGAGAACGGCCGGGGGCCCTCTCTCGGGGCCGCCTCGGAGGCCACCCTTGGCCTCTCGAGGCGCCAGGCCCTCGAAGGGTCTGGCGTCTCGGGCCGCCTCCTTCTCCTCCCCCTCCTCCTTCTCCTCCCTCCTCCTCCTCCTCTCTCCTCCTCCTCCTCCTCCTCCTCCTCCTCCTCCTCCTCCTCCTCCTCTTGGGGGGCCCCTGCGGCCCTGCGGGGGCCGGCTCGCGGCCCGCCGGGGGCCCTCTCGGAGCGTTCTCGGAGGCCATCTGAGAGGATGTGTCCGGCGCCGCGGCCGTTCCAGAGCGCTCTGGAACGCTCTGATGCGATGACGTCATCATCATCATCATCATCATCATCATCATCATCATCATCATCATCATCATCATCATCATCATCATCATCATCATCATCATCATCACAGCAGCAGCAGCAGCAACATCATCAGCATCATCAGCATCATCATCATCAGCATCATCAGCATCATCAGCATCATCATCATCAGCGTCAGCAGCATCAGCATCATCATCAGCATCAGCATCAGCATCATCATTACCATCAGCAGCATCATCAATATCTTCATCACCAGCATCATCATCAGCAGCAGCATCGTCATCGTCATCGTCATCATCATCATCATCAGCAGCAGCATCATGATCAGTATCATCGTCATCATCAGCATCATCGTCATCATCATCCTCATCCTCGTCCTCATCATCATCATCAGCAGCATATCACGTCATCGTAACGTAATCGAAATCGTCATCGTCATCGTCGTCGTTATCATCGTCATCATCGAAGCTCCACATGAGCTCATTGTGCTTCGAGCGATCGCGAGGCACGTCGGGAGTTCCTGCCTTACAAACTAACGGGCCCATACTGTCGGGTGGGAAGTCGAAGAGAAATTCAAGGTCCAGAAAATGCAGGTACGCCTCAATGACTGTTACATCAGCTTCGCCAAAGGCTGCGAAATCGAAGAAGGCGCCCTCGAAGGGGCTGGCTATTCACACTTGGGCCCTCGAGGCTTGCTCTTCAAAGTATACCACATCAGGCGATGGGACCGCTCTGGGAGAGATGAGGACACTGGAGCGCTCTGGAAGACAAGAGAACACTGGAGATGATGAAGAAGACAGGTGCGCCACCTCAGGATGGTCCGAGCCGTGCTCCTTCTCCAACACCAGGAGGGCACTATCCAGAAGCCGGACCTGTCGGAGACGCTGCGTGGGTGCCCGCTGCTCCATGCCCAAGCATGCTAATCCCCGCGCCACGAACTTCTCAAAACTCGATGGCGAATTGCCGCTGAATTCACCGCACCACGCACACCAGAACACTACCCTTGTAAATACAACGACTAGCCCAAGGGACCTACCGTGCAGGTGGACGGTGTACGTGGCATTCGTGGACGACGCAAGGCTCACGCAGGGAAGGACGAGGAGTCGGGAGGCAGGTGAGGAGGAAGGAGGGAAGGGCGAAGGAGAAGGACGGACGGGGGTAGGTTGTCTTCGTCGTCCTCGCCGCCGTCATCGTCGTCGTCGCTCTCGCCGACCAAAATTTCGCGGCGAATCCAGCGGTGGCGACGAGAACCTCCCAGGAGGCCCAAAAAGGGGAAAACGGCCGAAGGGGAGCGGTGTAGGTAAAGGCCCTGGCTGGGCCACGGCGGCGGTACGGATGCCCTCCGCGGGCGCCAGGGCCGCTCGCGGGGCCTTCGGAGCTCGGGGCTGCTGCCCCCCATCGGCGGCGAGCGAGGGGGGGGGGGCGGGGCGGGACCCTTCTGAGAAGGCCTTCTCGTTCTGAGAAGGCCTTCTCGTTCTGAGGAGGCCTTCTCGTTCTGAGGAGGCCTTCTCGTTCTGAGGAGGCCTTCTCGTTCTGAGAAGCGGGCTTCCTGAGAAGGCCTTCTCCTTCCCGTTGTCCCCCCCCCCCCCGCGGCTCGCCGCCGAACGAGGACTTCACGACGCGAGGGCGTCGGGGCGTGGCCCCCATCGTCGCTGGCCCCGTGGCGGCCGCGGAGAGC